GGCAGACATTCAGCTCACTTTATAGGTTACACGAATGACAATTGGTTAGTGTGTAAGCTGCTGCAAAGCTGCACAGCTCCATGAGGGACAGAACAGATAAAATGAAAAGATCTGACAGGTAGGGCAAAAGGGTCATTGTGAAGGTGACTGAGTCATACGTCCGACTGTGCCCACAAAATCAATAGGTTATTTCACTTCAATAACAACTTTTTATTGTAATTCGGGGACAGTATTTGTGTCTCAGTAAAGGAAAGAACATCGACACAATAATGGGAAAAAATAAGACAGACAGACAGAAACAACAGAAATAAAGCAGTAGGACCTGCCAGTGGCGCCTTCCAACCACTCCCTTTGAACATTACTTTCATATCATCTCTACTAGAATTTGAATAAAGAAAAGCACATTGATACATTGCTGGGAGAAAGCAAGACTGACGGATAGATCAGATACAAAACTGGGAAAGTAAAGAAGAAAGACCCACCTGTGTTGCCATCCCCCCAACAGCCCACTCACTCTACGATTGTCCATATACACAAGTTATACAACAGTGTCACATAAGTACTGCCCCCCCCCCCCCCCCCCCCCCAAGAATACATAAGTCTCTCACACTATAGACATTATATATTGACAGTAACAGTCACAAACCGTGTTTATCGAAAATTAGTTTAAGATTATTTTTTTTTAAAAAGACCGCATGGACACCCCTTTGCATGATATATTTATATAGCACAAAATGTGTATACCATTTTCAGCTGCACATTTGGTACTAGCACACCGCTTTTCTTTAAAGTAGCAATTACATGCTCATGGACTGACATGGTTTGCGACTGTTACCATCAACATCTAGTTTCTTTCCCTACTCCTTTTTCTCACATATCAACAAGTTTTAGTAATGAAGATTAGAGGTGTTACAAAAGAGTAACATAAACAGAAAAGAAGAAGGAGAGATAAGGACGATAGATGTTTAATAGGAAAGAAGGAGCAAATCATGCCAGAGCACCTGCCAACCACCCAAGCATATTTCTACCACCTTGAACAATGTCAAGTGTTTAGGTAACAAACTAACATTTTATTCATGCCAGTTTAGAGACTAGCAAATCCTCACAATAATGGAAACTTAGCACTGGGGAAAAAGTGTGATAGATAAATACAAACAACAGAGGAAACGAAAAGAAGTAAGACATACTGATGGCGCCCTCGAACTACCTGCTATGCTAGACTCAATGAAACAAGGTATAAGGAACTGAACGCAGAAGCATTTTGGGCATAAATGAAGCATACAGAAAAGTCTGGTGCATTCACACATTCACAGAATGTTGAGAGAAGCAACAACAGTACCGTGCTGACCTTAAAGTTTTGTATTAAGAGAAGCACATCAGCGAGACAATAACAGTCATTTAGTGCATGGAAAAAGTAAGACAAACAGACTGAGAAAAAAAGAAGGGTAGTTAAAAAGTAGGAGTTACCAGAAGCACCCTGTAGCAACCAACCAAGAGGAGGCTGCATGCCACCAAAATGTTGAAGTAAGAAAACATCGATCTCTAATGAACACCCCAATCCCAGTTTCTGCACGATATGCTGCAAAAGAAACCGAGCACAACAACACCATCAAAACGGGATTTTTAGATCAAGGAATGAAGAGTAAAAGGATATTATGCCCATTACCGCAAGCCATAGTACAGAGGAAAAAAGATGAGAAAGAGGGAGAAAAGGGGTGGGGAGATCGTAAGGTTGGGAAAGCAAAGATAATGAGGCGACACTATACAGCATGCGTGTTATCACAGGAGAAAGTTGAGGGGAAAAAGACATATGGGGATGAGGACGGGGGAAGGGGGAAGGGGATAAGGAGGGAGAGGTGAGCAAAGATGATGAGAGTTGCAGTAATAATAAAGGCAATGATTGCTTCCTGACATGACAACAAAGGTAAGGAAATCACAGCCAAAACTCTAGCATTTCTCAGTCTCTTTCGTATGCTCTCGGAATACAACACTGCAGCTACACACAGCCGTGCGAAGAACACTTTATGGACATAAAAAGGCAAAAACACCATACACACACACATACATATATATAATATATATAATATAATATACATTTAAATATCCATGCTGTGGCAATGTGCTATTTGATAGATTACCATTACACTTAAAAACAAGAATCAGTGAAAATTTAATATATATGAATATATATAATTCTAATCTCAGAAAAATGAGTTGAAAAACTTTATGAAGTTAATTTTACAGTGTATATCTATCTATGTGAGAGGAAAAATATACTCTTCCGCATACAGCTGAAACAGGGGGAACATTTGACAGGTTGAAATGTCAACACAAAGCAAAAAGCCAAACAGAAATAAAGGGCCTAAACATAAAATCAATGACATTTATAAGCCACATCAAAAGAAAGAATAAATACAAAGTGAAATAGAATCTACAATTACCCGCCCTTCCCCCTATACGAATTAAACACGACACAATAAAACAAAAGGCAAAGGAATGTAATTCTGAGCATAAAATTGGAATGAAAATGATAAAACATTTAAAAACTCCATGTCCATTTATCACAATGTGAAGTTTAAATGCCAAAACAAAACAAAGGTTGGTGAAGTTCAGCCACAGTTGAACGACTATCTACAACTAAAACTGGAAGAAAATTTAATAAAATACAATGAGCAGGAGCTTACAAACAACTCGGCCATTGGTTGAACTGGCATCTTCTTCTTCTTGACACAAAATCATCACAAGCTTATCTATCTATCTATGCAAATTTTCCTTAATCAATTATTTAACCCTTTCACTGTCTTGGCAATTATCGAGGTAAAACCACAACCCTACCAAAGAGCCCAAGACAGTCTCGGGCTTGGCAACAAAGGAGTTAATATTTTCTGTTTCTTCTTGTGGTATTACTGTTGGGCGAGTAAAAAAAATTGAAATCTCTTTGGGTAAGAGCATTTCTCAGAACCATATTGCTCAGATGAACCAAAATTTAAAAAAAAAAAAAATTAATTAATATGTTTCAGTTTCCAGCACAATATTGAAAGTGCTTGATTTTACAGAAGAGATCATACTCCAGGAGTGAGGAATGCTTCCATGTCCATTTAAGGTGAACAAAAAAAAAAGTAAATTCAACAACAACATTATAACTTGACATGCTTTCTACACACTTAAAATACAAACTGAACCACAGAGAATTATTAATTCATTATGCTTTGCAAGAGAAACAGTAAAGATGAAAAGTAATGTAATAGTAATATAATCACGCATGTTAAAAATTAGATATGTAAACGGGTCAAAATAAAGAGATGCAACAACTCCAGCCAACTACTACATCTTAGAAAAAGGCAAAGTGGGGCTTTGGTAAAATTAAGATGGACAGCACACATACACACATACTCAACACACACAGAAATGTGCTTTAACTTAAATCACATCATCAGTCAAACAGTTCATTACCATACAATAAGAAAGGGACACATGCACAGCCATCAAAAACCAAACCATACTGACAAAAATAAATCCCGCAGCAGAAAAGAATTAATACAAAACAATCTGAACACAAAGTGAGGCAAAAAAACCTACAACAAAACTAAAAATAACAGCCATGGTGACCGGATCTAACACAAAAGTTGCTTTTGATTTGGCACAAAACGTAAAGCAAAAAAATAAAACAAAACAAGAAGCCACTTGTCCACTTCTATACATCATATTATGTGATAATCGTTTAGAAATAATTGCTGTACTCTGTGGTCAAAAAGGACGAGATCCAATAATAAGGTAAAAAAAACCCCAACAAACAACAAAAGTATTCAGGACCATGACAAGAATTTCACTCTGAGACATATCATAGAGTCTTACGTCCACTTGTAAATGTGGGATAGGCTCCTTAGCTTTCAATCTCAAACACAGACGGAAAAACATCTCGTTAGATACTCTTCAATCTTCCATTATACCCTGTATACACTGAAATCAAATGCACTAAACTTTAAAAACATATTCGGCACACCTGAGTACCTCTGATTCTTAAATAGAAGACTGAAATATATCTCAGACTAGACAAAATTGACAACTTACGGCAAAGCGTTTCTTAAATGTTTAAAAATAGTGCCATGAATATTGCAATATTTCTTTATCTAGGCAAAACATTTTTTTCCTTCTTCAATGCCAAAGTCTTTTTTAACAACTTGTTGAAAACAAATCAACCCAAAAAGTAAGTACGTACCCTTGCTTTACAACAATATTTACTTTGAACATAAAAAAAGCTAGTCATCAAACAAACAGTTGTTACCAAACGTGTGATTTATAAATCTCTGTTTCAAAACCATATCCATCCCCCCCCCCCCCCCCCCCCTTCATTTATAACAAAAATGAAAAGCTTGTTTACGAATTTGCCATGGCCATATAATTAAAGGAAAAAATCCTTTGTGAGCAACCAGTCAATTATAAAAATCCCCATAAAATACAAGCATTCTGCGCTCATTTCACTGACACATTTGTATAAAAAAAGAATATAAATAAACCACGCAATGATAAATCGCTCCATCTTTCGAAAATAAAAATTACAAATTTTACTTATCACTGGACCATAATTAACAGTGGTGAACACAAACAATAACAAAAAGTTCCAGACAAAGTATTACAAATAAGTGACATTTTTTCCTTCTCACGTTTTGCAAAGAGAAGGATCTAAAAATATCAAAATACCGAAGTACTTAGAAGAGGCCTTTATGGAAAACTACTGCTCCACATTACCCTTAACTATCAACAACAGACTGACATGTTTCAGAAAATATTACTCCTTTTCGCAAATTAAGCAGAGCACATCGTCTTTCCTGAAGCTTGAAAATAACAATTCTGTTCACCTCTCAGTAGTAACTAAGAATATCAAATATCTAATCTCAGCTACAACCCCTTGATCCCATGACACGATTTATTCACATTTGCTTATTTTACTGTAGAGCTGGAGTCAGAGAAGACAAAGGCATAGCTGCTCATTTCTTGCCTTTTTTTTTTTTTTTCCAATATCAACATCAAACAGAATATATTTGTGACATTTGGTCTCGGGTCTTGGACCATATACACCAGACTTATTTACTCCTCTAAACCAAGGATGGGTAAGTATGCCCGAGTTGTGGGTCGGATTAAAGGATGCTGAATATCTCACAGGTCAAAGCTGAGGTAATTATTTATTTTAATTTTCAAGAAGGGCAGTTTGTTTCTTTTAATTCTCAACTAATCACTGGCCACATTCATTTTTAATTATCGGGTTGACTCACAGACCAGACTTAAACTGTTTGTGAGCTAAATCTCGTTTGAGGGCTGTAGTTTGGCCCTGCCTGATCTAAACTAATATTACAGGTCTCAACAAAATACTGGAGACATAAGGAAAGCATGGTCTACTGTTTTGTGTGTGACAGCTTGAAATTCAATGTCCTTGTGAAGGTTTCAAATCCAAACATTAGCACATAAAGAGATGTTACAGTGTTAAGCTGCGAGATCTTTCTAGAAGGTGCCATTGTTTCCAGACATCAATCCCTGAAGACATCCTCTTGAAGGTTACAAAAAAGGCAAACAAAAACCCACACAGAAAATAAAATGCAGCAATGAGAACTCACACTACAGCTGAGTAATCCTGCCTCATCTACGACAGCTTGGGTTGTCCTGTCTTGTCAAGTGTTTTTTCAGCCAAGCCTTAGTCCACAAAGCCATTTAATTGTGCTGTGTTGTGTTGTGAAGTCCTTCTCAAGATGCGTTTTGCCTCTCACTATTAATCCATGAAAAGAGTTAACAGCAGCCACGAGAACTTGCACCAGAGCAGAGAAATCCCACATTGTCTATGATGGCTTGGTGTTGGGGGGTCCTTCAAGAGGATGCCTTCATCTCCAAGTTTTAATTCACGAAGGCATCTCTCTCAAGATTTTAGCGGAACCCGTCATCTCCACTATGACATTGTGACCGCCCTTCTAGAAGATCCCATCATCTCCACTATGACATTGCGACCGCCCTTCTAGAAAATCCCATCATCTCCACTATGACATTGTGACCGCCCTTCTAGAAAATCCCATCATCTCCACTAACGCTGCTACTAACACTGCGGGAACGGGACGAGTGGGACAGGATGGGACTCGACTCCACGAAGGTCTGATGTGACATGGCCAGCTGCTCCGAGACGTCCAGCACGCTGGACACCAGCGACAGGCTGGCCATGGCTGTCTGAGTGGCCTTGTCAGCCACGATAGACGATGCATCCGTGGGTTCCTGTCCCGCTATGCTCATGCGTAAGTCGTGCTGAATTTTCCTGCAATAGAAAATAAACGTTGAAATTTGAAGAAAAAAAACATTGAGGGAAAGAAATAGGCACAAAAATGTTCAAACTTGGAAAAAAAAAATTAGAAAAGAAATTAAAAACAAACAAACCAAAATCGCACTTGATGAAGTTTCTCTTCTTTTTTAGTTGTGAGCGTTTCCTGGCACTTGCAACACAATTTGGTTATAAAAAAGCTGAAGATTAAAGGTGTAATAAGAGAGTAACAAACACAAAAAAAGAAGTAGGAGAGAAGAGGAAAATAGATGTTTGATAGTAACAGAGATGCCAACCACACAAAACCGAAATGAATAATGGGAAATATGAAAATGTGTATTTTCAGGGGAAAATGTGTATTCTCCACGACCGACCGACCGACTAGTAAAATGTTCAGGGTGTCCAGCAATATTTCCTGAAAAAAATTTACTAGCTCACCAGCTCGGAAAACGGAGCACACACGCGTACAATATATATGTATCCAGTCAACAACATGTCAGTGTTTAGTGTCGTACTGTGGTCCTGTTTGACTTAAGTATTTCAGTCTATTACAATATTTTCGTCTCATTATTATATCAAAAAATTAATCCTGCATTCGGAAGGGCCTAGAACAAGAATTTTGACTATCAAGAACAAGTCTGGGTGTCATAATTCATATTATGAACTGACAGACTAAAATTATTGCTAAAACTCAGAGAAGAGCAATAACTTCTATGGCTCAAGTAGACCCATGCAAAATTCTGAAATTTACTTCTAAGTTTTTGTCCTCTGGCGTTGTCTTCACTCCCCCCCCCCCTCCCCTCACACGAGTGTATCTTTAAAAAAAAAAATCAATATTCCCCTCCCCTATTCCGTAGTCCTATACTTCGCAACGCCGTTACTCCTACCAAAGACGGTCTTTGCTCACACGATGCCGCATTTATCTACGATGAGAATGGGCGCAGGTTCACTGACCGGTCACGATGGCAAGCCAGATAATCTAAAAATCGGACGATGCTTGTATTTTCTTTTCTTTTTTCCCCACAAGTGACAGCATAGAGATGAGTCCCAGTATTGATTAAATTTTATTTGCACGGCAACACAGCGTTCACACTGCACAACCTGTATGTCACAAATGCTGCGTTATCAAACTAACGCTGGCAATGAAAGCGAAAGTAGATCTTGATTTTCCCGACTGAGCCTCGGTGTTACATACACTTCCTCCTGCCGCCATAGCCACCTGTTCGCGAGAAAGTGACACGTATTCTCAGACCGGGAAAAGCTGAACGAATATAATATCACATTCGCGACCGGTAAAAATGAAATTACTGACCTTATCGGACTTGGTTTGCAAATATTTCAGTTCCACGACACTGATACTATTTTGACAAAAGATGGGACTTGAGAGAGATCTAATTAGGTTTACTCGCCCATGCTGAATCTTGTGTTTTTCGCATTCCAGGATGTGTATTTTTTCATGAAAAGTCGTATTCACGTATTTTCGGCAAAAAATCATACTAAAATATGTAAAATCGTACTGGTTGGCATCTCTGTAGTAAAGATAGAGTAAACCACACCAGTTTGGACATTTTTGGCAAATTGTATGTCCATTCAAAAACACTTTCAAGTGTGGATTTGGAAGTCATCAAACTTTGGCATCCATTTTCTCGCTAATTTTTACTTCTGAAACCAGGCAACCCCACCTCCTTCAATCGCAAATATCTCGACTTCTATTCAAGATAAATGGACATTTTTTTCATCAAAAGCAAGGCAAATAAATAACCTTTAAGATGATACCAATAACTCCATATGCCCAAAAATCGACGAGTACCTGATTCCATTGCGTCATGACACATATACAGTATTCACTTTACGGCATAGACACATCTGGTAACAAAATGAATACAGACTAGACAAAAAGACCCCCAAGTAACATTTCTAGCATCAAGAAAATTATAAACCAAACCATCAAATTAAGAAGAAAAGTAGTGAGTGAAAGAAAAAAAAAGAGGAAATACGAAATATTGCCAGGTCTTTCTTCAACTACAGAACAAACACAAATGCCCTGTCTATTGCATCTTAACATAACTTTTCTTAGTAACATGCTTTACACGTGTCTCTTACGTGAGTGCGTCCACAGATCTGTGTGTGTCGCCTGTAAAGCCTGATCTTGTATTTTCTCTGTGTGACACACTATTCCTGTATATCTGACTTGTGCGGACCCATAGAAATAAGTGCATTGTTCAAGACTTGATCCTGTCTTTGCGATGAGCGAAACACTCTACACATAAATCGTACGTGGGTTTGCTCACAGAAATAAAAGCGTCGCGTAGTAATACCTGATCTTGTCCTTGCTGTGAGCGATCTGGCTGTAGATGATCTGAGCGTCGACGTCTGGGTCTAGCGGGTCCTGCCAGTCTCCCAGCACCACACCGTGGTACGTCGGGCTGCAGCCTGGGGCTGGAGAGAGGGGACACAGAGCAGTGAGGCTTTCTTCTTTCTATCTTTTCTCTTATCTTAATATCTCTCTCTTTTTTTTTAACCTCTCTTCTTCTCTCAACCTTTCTTCTTCACATTTTTCAATATCTCCTCTTTTCTCAGTCTTTTCTCTACTCCTAATCTCTCCTCTTCTCTCAAACTTTCTTCTTCACTCAATCTCTTCACTTTTTCAATATCTCCTCTTCTCTCAGCCTTTTCTCTACTCTTAACCTCTCCTCTTCTCTCAGTCTTTCTTCTTCACTCAATTTCTTCGCTTCTTTCAATATCCCTCTTTTTTCCATCTTCACGCTTCTCTCAATTTCTCTGTCTCTCCTCTATTAACCCCCCCCCCCCACCAAAACAAACTCATGTCTGCTGAAGTCCCTTGCTAAGAACTTAATGAATACACCACAGATCTCCAGAGTGTAGAAAACTGACATTTACAGTCCAATTCTTATCACAGCAAAAGAAATACACTAGCTTCGAATCAAAGTATAAGAAAATTTGCGAAATTTTGTTTGTTTCAGTAAAGAGAAACACATCGACATGATAATGGTAATTTAAGGCTGGCAAGAGCAAAACAGACAGACAGAAACAACACTAAAAAAGAAGGACCTAGCACTGGAGCCCACTCTGGTCACCCATGTCAAAATCTGAGGGGAGTTCAAAACACATCAACTCTACTTTCAATGCCTAAGCCCCAACCTGTATCCTGCTCTTTTCGGCAACAGTTCCACTTGTCCCCCTTGAACACACCAGGATGGAACGTCTCGATGCGGCAGGCGTTGTACTTGCAGGTTTTTCTGATGGCTGAGATCCACGCGGTCAACTCGTTCACATCCTAGCCGAGTAGAAGAAAATACCAGAGGGAAAAAGATGAACCAACCTTTTTCCTTGATTCTTTTATTAGTCTAAATACAGAGGAGCACATCATCATGATAATAGCAGTCATTTAGTGCTGGAAAATAGCAAAACAGATAGACAGAAACAACAGGAGGAAACCAAAATAGGCACATTTTTTTCATCCACAAGGGAAATTATATTATAAGTGGATACGAGAGGCAGACGAGCAACTATTCAGTGAACATGCATGTAAAGTGTTACATGAAAGCTAATGTGAGAACACAGTCGTACAACTGGACGATCGTACACAGTTGCAGCCTGCTAGATACATAAGTTATTATTTACTTGTTTCACTCCTCCCAGCACTAGCACAACATCTTGGTACTTTTGGGAGTAGCTAGTGACCAGAGGGGACACAGACTGGTGAGACATATTTTTCTGCCTCTCCTCTTCTTGTAATTTTCCTTCTTCTTTCAATGTCTTCTCTTTCCCAATCTCTTTATTTATTTCAATCTCTCCTTTCCTCTGTATCAGCTTGGTGAGAAAAAAAAAAATTGAAGAAAAAAACCTGACTCGGGGACTCAAAACTCTACCGGTCGAAGTTAGGCAACTTCTCGGCTGGCCGTACGATCAGGGCGGCAGGCATTGGCCAATCTAATTTCACACCTCTGGCTTCTGGCTACCCAGGAAAGTTTCCGTAGTGATTCGCTACTCCAGCACTCTCACGGGAAGTCGTGAAATTTCACACCTACACTACACTCACCATCGTCATCCCTCAGGGCTCACATTGAGGGGTAACATCTACCCTCAAATTGCACCCTAGCTCCTCTTCCTCGCCCAGCGACATAGCCATAGCGTTAAGTTTAGAGCCGGCGGAACCAAACTTGCAAGTTTTGTTTCAAATCAGGGTTGAGCGGGCAAAGCATTTTCCGTCTTAGACAGGTGAAACCCTCGGAAGGGATCTGACTTTTCTTTCCGTTTTAAACAGGTAATTAAAGAGGAATATATCAAGGGGGGGAGCGGGGGGGATTCTGTTAAGACAGGTTTCCGTTTTATACAGGTTTCCGTTAAGGCAGGTTCGACTGTATGTATATATATATGTATATATATATATATACACTCCTGAATGCCGAATCCAGGATGGTCCTGGGAAAAGGGAAATTCAGGACAGTTGGCAAGCCTGTAGATCACAATGCCATCATGCCACTTCACTAAAACATGACAGTACCTTTGCCTGGAAGTAAATAATCCCTGTGTTCTCATCCGACGTCTTGTGGATGATCTGGCCCATGTTGGACTTGCCCAGGGCTCCGTAGTCCAGCTTCTCCACGGCACAGATGTTCTCCACCATCACCATGGTGTCTTCCTGGGGACAGAACAATTTTTTATTTTTAGTTTAGTAAGAGTTTTACAGTATTTGGAACACAAATATGAGAGCTGAAGAATAGAGATGTTACTAAAAAGTAACATACAAAGAAAAGAAGGAGGAGAGATAAGGGCGATAGATGTTTGATAGGAAAGAAGGAGCAAACCACATCAAAGCACCTGCCAAACACCCATGGCACAGATCAGGAGGATGGCTTTGAGTTTTTACATCCTGACGTTGTTAACAAATTGTAGACTCACTCTAAATAAAAAGCCTGAACATTTTATCTTGTCACTGTTGTTGTTGTTTTTGTTGTGAGTTTTTATTTGTTTGTAGATTTGTGGAGTGAAAAGAACCACATCTACGTCTATAAACATGTCCATATATCAACGAAAACCCCCCCCACAAAAATGTAATATATTGCAAAAACAAATAGGCTTATCAGGATTCCAGAACGGTATGCTTAAACCTCTGAAGATAATAAAACCAGATCTTCCCCCAACGTGTCCTTTGTGTGATTATGCATATGAGACTGGATCATCACCTTTTCCATTGTACAGCCCTAAATGACATCAGAGCTACACATCTCCATCCGAGACCTAACATTGACAACACACTCTATTGAAAATTACAGCAACTGCAGCAAACCTACACTCACCGCTACATGGCATTCAATGGATGGGCGAGAGCCCAGCTGTAGCTGGATCAATAAAAACAACTAACCTCTGAAGATAGAAAATTATCTATGTGTTGCAGCTTGTCTTGAAAAAATCATCTGGTCATAAAAGTAAACACAATAAATCACTTAAAAAACAACAATATCATCGCAGCCACATCTTCAAGCACCAACCCTCCTCCCCCCTCTCCCCACAATAAAACTCACAAAAATAACCAACGAAACACCCCCCCTCCCCAAAAAACAACCCCAAAGCAAATCACAACAACCCTTCCCCTCTTAAAAAACCCCCAAACCCCCCAACCAAAACCCAAAAAACCCACAATTCGAACAAAGCACTCACATCTTCGGGAGTTTTTCGGTAGCAGAGCATGACGCGGGTGAGATAGAAGTAGCACTTTTTCAGCACGATGGGACGGAAGAGTCTCTTGCAGTGGTAGTGACATTTGTAGAGGTGACCTTGGATCAGCACTGTCTCGTTGCTTTGTTGCCGGACCAGGTATTTGTGGGAGGCTGAAGTAACAAAACACATTTTTTAAAAGACCTCGTATTTATTAGCCCATACTGCGATGAGACAACAATTTCTTCTCCGTATTGTGCTCCCCTGCATGAACAAAACGCAAAATGAAAAATTCATCAAAGAAAGAAAAAATGCTTTAGTAAGAGTTTCATGTTATTCATCTCTGATGTTTTGCAAATCCACATACAGTCGAACCTTTTCTAATGACCACCTGTCCAAGACAATCATATGTGAGGTATCGTGGTGAAATTGGGCACTTGTCTAAATGAAATCTGAGAAATCAGCAATTTTGCGCCAGTTTGGAATTTTTTTTTGAATTTTTGTTTTTTGGCTCAACACCTTGTATGTCCATTAAAAAAAACAACACTTCTAAGTGTGGGATTTATGGGAAAATGTTGATTAACGGCACAAAATATATAAATTTGCAATTTCCAAGGACTCTTAAGCTATGGAAGTCACCAAACTTTGGCGTCCATTTTCTTGCTAGTTATACTTCTGAAACCAGGCAACCCCACCTCCTTCAATCGCAAATATCTCCACTTCTATTCAAGATAAATGGATATTTCTTCATTGAAAGCAAGGCAAATGAACAACCTTTAAGATGATACCATAACTCTATATGCCCAAAAATTGATGAGCACCTGATTTCACCACTTTGTGATTCATATGTGAAAACAACTGCTTCCCACTTTGCGTTTTGTTTATATTACAAAGAAACTGTCTAAGCAGTCCACTTGTCTAAGATGACCACTTTCTCCTTGACAGGGTGACTCATCTAGGACAAGTTGGACTGTGTATAAAGGAAGTGAAAAAAATCTCTCCCTTCACTGATACCATCTTAGACCTTGTTAGTTGGCCTTTGAACCATCTCAAACGCCCGGCATCAATTCCGCATATCCACAGATATTAACTTACTTGAGCCTGAGCTATTTTTCACCCAAAAGCCATTGCAGCCTGACACTTTTGAGGTATATTGAAGCGTTAGCCACAAAAAGACTGTGAAAGCTATCATAATTTTTTTTTTAATGCAGCAAGAGAAAGAAAGAAATGTTCTGACAGAAAAAGAAAACTGCATTTAATTTGTCCGAATAGTTTTTATTCTATAAATATTTTGAAATGGCATTACTGGGGGGTCACACAATTTTTTGTGTGCCTAATTTATAATAAAATCATCTATTGCAATGCAGAGATGACTGACTTAGTCAGTTACAGCTAAAAACATATTGCATATAACTCCACCAAATTTTTACTGAAATGAAACAAGGGGTCAACTGTTGGCTTGCCTCTTCCAGTAGCTTATTAATGAAAAACACAGGAGATATCGATCGATAAAACGCATCCCGTAAATACATGGGAATAGGCGCAGGTGAGTTAATAGCAACTGAAAAAGTTCTTGCTTCAAACTGGCAACCGTATCAATAAGTCTCACCCGAGAAATCTCCGACATTAACGAGAGCGTCCAGGTAATCCTTCACCTCCAGGATTTTCTGCGAGATGAGAGGTGTGAGCGGTTCCAGCCAGGCCTCTTTCCCGTGCTGACCAGGGGTCAAATTGCCCACACTCTGCACAATCTGGGGAGAAAGAGTAAAAACCAGATCAAGTTTTAGTTTTAGTAAAGTTTTACGGTGCTCGCAGCTGCATAAAGTCATATGAGTGCCAAAGGGTGGTGGATGTCAACAGAGAAGTTCAAATGGGGAATCAGGCTTACTCTGCTCACCTCTCTAGCCTAAACAGCACAAAGTCTGCTTCCACTATCAAGGCATCCCGCAAATAGCAGTTTACAAGAGAGTGACAAACATACAAAAGAAGTAGAGGAAAAAAGGACGAAAGTTAGGAAGAAGAAAGAAAAACCAGCAGTTCCCCCTATGTTGTTCCAGCACAGTATGAGTACATTGATAAATCAGTCCATTTATAATTCTACAGTGCATAAGAACATGTTAATATCCCCCTTCTTTGGGAATGGCCTAAAGACACTTCAGTCAGTAGCACTGCCCGGGCAGGGGGTGGGGTGGGGTGGGGTGGGGTTGTGGGGGGGGGGGCAAGGTCAAGAGAAGAAGAGAAATGTAGAAAAGGTTTTAAAAAAACCCATCAAGGTTAAGAGCAGACAAGGTCAACAAGGAGCTGAGGAGGCAAAGAGCAGAAAAGGTCAGAAAAGATTAAAGACAGGAAGGGTCAAGTCAAAGAAAAAAAGAAATGTTATAAACAGTCATGTGTTGCCTCTGACAGAATAGTCACAAGACTTAAATATAACATCCTCAGCTGATCATAAATATTTAAAGAGTGTTGACTGACATTAACAAATTACAGACATTCACTATACGGTTTATGAGGCGAGCTTCTTCAACTCTGCATGTCATGGCCAACGTGAGCAAAAAGTTGATAAAGTTTAATAAATTTCTGTCATGGGAATCAAAGTTACATCTTCAGACACTTCTCCTGCTTGCTTTAACACTGTGTACACTATTATCAAATTGAGGGCGTAAAGCGAGGCATGTTGACACAATAGCGGTTGTTGAGCGCTAAGAAAAAGCAAGTCTGACAGAAAGGAGGAGGAGGAGGAGGAGGAGGAGGAGGAGGTGGAGGAGAAGAAGGAGGAGAAGAAAAAGAAGGGGGAGGAGGAGGAGGAGGAGGAGGAGGAGGAGGAGGAGGAGGAGAAGGAGAAGAAGAAGAAGAAGAAGAAAAAGAAGAAGAAGAAGAAGAAGAAGAAGAAGAAGAAGAAGAAGAAGAAGAAGGAGAAGAAGAAGAAGAAGAAGAAGAAGAAGAAGAAGAAGAAGAAGAAGAAGAAGAAGAAGAAGAAGAAGAAGAAGAAGAAGAAGAAGAAGGCTGCTAAGAATACCTTGGCAAGCAGCGTGAACGTCCGTATCACTTTTCGGTTCGGGTGCTGGTCGCTCAAGGAGAAAAGTTTTGGGGACATGATGGCAGGGGCGAAGAACCGAAGAAAGACGAAGCCACTCACAGCAATGTACGGAACATCCTGAGAAGGAAATACAAGATTAGTCATATCATTGTTGACAAGCCACAACTTTGTGGCTCAAAAAGACTTTCCATGTCAATAGGTACTGAAAAAGGCAGACAACTGGACATGTATAGAACATGACAGAATGCGACAAATCTCACTTCTACTTTGCAAAGTTGTATTGTAACATTCCATTGATCCCTGATGAAGAAGTTAAGTGAAAAAGTCTCTGATAAATTCTAGATGTTAATGTAGATTCCTCAGATTTATATTGTCGCGACTACAGACATTGAGGGCGGCACTGCGCGGTAATTGTAGCCCCGGATAATTAAACAGATAAAATAACACAGTCCAAATTAGTTTTTGGGGGTTTTCAGATGAAGCTGTTATTCAAGTAAAAATATTTGACATCAAAATTTTGTTCAATTTTCCCCCCCATAGTTTTTAATCGACAAATTAAAAAATAGTCAAGTCATGGTTCTAATAGGGCATTTTCTTTCTTTAAACTTTTTTAAAATAAAAAAAATTACTCGTGTTTTTGCGGAATGACTCCGATAATTCATCCTAAGCATCATTACACACATCACCTTTCATAATTTAAAAAAATTACTAGGGTTTTAGTGGAAAGACTCTGAAAATATATCCTAAGCGTCATTGTAGGCATCACTTTACACACCTCATAGATCTCTTCCGGCCATTTTTCCCGGACCCTGATCTGTATATTTCTCAGCACTTTCCGCAGGACCTGTGGGCAGTAAGTGACCGAGTTGACGATGCTGTTGATGGCGCTGATGGTGTAGTCTTCGATGGCCTCCATGCTGTGGTTCACAAAACTCTCCTCCGACTCTCGGTGTAGGCTGTGCCGTCTCCTGGAGGGCAGATGCAAATAAGATATAAGATATGATAAGACAAAATAAGATCAGACTTGATTTTATAGACCTACTATATATTCTTGACCCACTACTAATCATCTACTTCTACTATTATTATTCTTATTATATTGATTCACTTTATTTCATCCATGCACGTTAATTCCATTGATCCACTTTGAATGGACACTTGAATGTCGAAATTTAAAAAATTTCCATAAGTGGCATTAGGCCCTGAAGCTATTAAAATAATCCCCAAGCTCCTTACGTGCGGACGCTGTTCACTCGGAAGGGATCGAGCTCAACCGTCTTCTTCTCATTGATGATACGATCTATCGTGGGCTGCAAAACCTTCTGTAAGTAAGGCATGGCCAGTACCTGGGGAGGTACAGGGTTCAATTACACAGAAGCACAGAACCATAATAATGTTCATTTAGCGACACAATTATGGTTATTTAATGAAGGAAAAGAGTAAGATGAACAGACAGAAACAATTGAGGGACACGGTTCGAATACACAAAAGCACAGTGACACAATGAAGGTCATTTACCATTTACTGCAGGACAGACAGACAGAAATTACAGAGGGAAAGGAAAGAGATCGGACATGAGTTTAATGTAATGAGACTTTTGGCATCACAACAATTATTTATTGCAGGGAACCAGCAAGATAGACAGACAGAAATAACAGAAGGAAAAAAAAAAGCAGTAAGATGTATCCGTAGCACCCTCCAACCACTCTCAGCTGCTAATAGCTCAACACACAACGGCTACATCAAAGTCCCCAATGTCTTTTTCTTCAGCTGCAAGATCTGTGACAAACATCAGCGATCATGTTTCACCACTTATTTCTCTGCTCAGATGCTTTCGAAAAACCTATTTCATCCTGGTCTTTTCTTGTCATCCATCTGTTCCAAGTTCAGGGACATACCTTCATGAAATTGTCCACAGCTTTGGTGCCCAGCGTGTTGCCCCGGAACAGTGTGTTCACATCCTCTGTAACACATGAGAGAAATTATTGCTTGACAGAGTACAGTTGACAAGTAAATGTGGTCCAAAACAAGAGGCACGCATTTTCAAGGGGGGAGGTGAAAAAAAAAGTGAAATGGTACAGGTTTAACGCCCCTATCAACACTAATAGGTTATTTAAGAGGCGGGACCTCCGAGTTTAATGTCCATCTCTGAGCCAAATGGGAAATTTGTGTAAAGTGCCTTTCCAAAGGACACAATGTCTGACTGAGCTAACTAGGAAGCTCAACAATGACAATAACAACAATAACAACCACAACAACAACAAACAAAAGCAACAGCAACATTCACAAACTTTCAAAATAACCTCTTTCCAACAACAACTACTGTGAACAGTCTTACTCTTCGCAATGCAACAAAAAAACCCAACAGAAATAACAACCACAACAGCGACACCACTCACCGGTCTTCTCAATATCCCGCAGTATGACAGCATCCAGGAACTCAAAGGCCAGCTCCTGGCTCAGGTAGAATCGAACCAGAGACATCGCCATGGCCCCCAGCTCGATGGTCCGGTCCTGCTCCAGTGTGTCCCACAACAGCTGACCCAGGTCGCGGTTCTGGGCAGACACACGGACATATGACTGACAGTAAAGGAATACATACACATATGTTTATACCTTTCTGTTTTTCTCTTTGTTCCTCCAGTGCCCCAAGATTTTAGGGAATATTGGTGACTGAAAATATTTTGAAAGTGCAGCAAAAATATTGCAAAAACAGACAGCAGGAAAACCATTTCTCACCTTGACAGAAAGGAAACACAAAACTAACGATGAAACCCTTCCCCCTAAAAACAGCTAAAGTGATCTTAAGAACAATGAGTAGTGGAGCCCCCCCAAAAAATTATGAAAACCCCCTCACAAAAAGCAGCTAGAGTGACCCTGTGAACAGAGAGTAATACAACCAAATCTCACTTAGTCAGTCAAGCAGTGTTCAGTCTATCACTACCCCCTCCCCCCCCCACACACAAACCAGCTAAAGTGACCTTATCAACAGAGCGTAAAAGAACCAAAACTCACTTTGACAGCTTCCCCCAGCAGATCCACCAGTGGCTGGTAACATGATGAGGGCAACACCGTCTCCTCTAGGAGCTGAAGCTTGACGCGGATTTTGCCTCGCTCTACTCGGCTGGGGAAACCGATTAATTTCCAGTTTGTACGAGTGAAAAGAATCACATGGTTGAAACTGTCATTTAGTTCAAGGCAGAACAGACAGGCAGAAACATTTGAGAGAAAGAAAAGAAATATGATTTACCACACCTCTGACCATCTCCATTTGCATAGAAATTTCTATGGGTAAGGCTCAAGTTGTAGTAAACAGAAGCACATGCAAAAAAACAACCGTCATATTAGGGCAGGAAAAGAGTAGGGCTGACAAACAGAAACAGTAGAGGGTAAGAGGAAAAGTAGAAAATATCCCTTGTCCCATCTTCCCTACCACCCACATAAATTTTTAAAAAGTAATATTTGGGTTTGATTAAAGAGGATGGAATTTCTTTCTTATTATGTTCCAGAATTGCTCACAATTTTGTGTAGAGTGTTCTTTTTACTTATTAAAGTGGGCTGTGAGGGTTGAGGGTGAAACCCCAGACGCTCTCTGGCAAGCCAGTCTCAACCAAGTCAACTCTCCGTCCTTGTCGAGCAGCCTGGAGACCCCTGCTCTGTGCATAGGAGTAGAGGTTTCAGGCGGAGCTCTGTCCAGGAGGTACCATAGACCTGTGAGGTGCGATGTGAGCAACGACTCTTTGGCTTGTAGAAGGGTTCGTACACATCCACCATTATGGTAGGTCTGGCGTCACAGCAGGCCAACCTGTTCATTCAGGAACTCACTGTCGACATCTTCTTCCCTCCCTCTTGTGGGAGCTCTACAGACGGGGCATGGTATCCACAGACTGCCAGATGACTCATCGTGAGATGCCTCTGCTGACCCAGAAGGTCTTGTAGCTGTAAGGAATAGGCTGCCTGGAAACAGATGACGTCCCTACAAATATCCTGGCAAATGCTCGCTGACCCATGACGTGACGATCCTCTGTCTGAGTAGATTTGGCCATCCCTTGAATTATTCTGCCCCATGAATGGAAATGTTAATAGCAGATAGCCAGGAGACAGCAGGTGGCGGGGATTGGGCAAACGCAAGCTACGTTTTGTGATGTAGACGACTCACTGTGGAAGGAAAACGTTACCCCTTACTCAATGGGACCCCTTACTGGACTGCTCAGATGATCACTTGTCATTGGTTGCACTTTGTGGCTCCCATCTTCCAGAACTAGAGTGTGCCTACACCCCCTATGGTTGTCTACTGTCTAAGAAATCCCTGTGAAGGTCGATGGAAAACAGGACCGTGAACATTGCACCTTTGTTCTCTTGTGGCAAGATGTTTGGGCACAAGCCAGTGTCAGGACAAGACTACCACCTACCTGAGATCCTACAGGGATGCATAAAGCCTTCACAACCCCCAAACTGATAAAATGCCTCTTAAGCCTGCTCTACTCTGGCGTTGACCAGATGACAAGGACATGTAGTTACTTGAGGGAGGCATTGTGCTGCCATGAGCGAAATACTCACAGCTAAAGGGATTTGAAAACAACAACAACTTATTAAAGTATCATCAGTTATAATTACGGCTGCGAATAATATAATTACAGACATAAAAACTGTTTGACCAAATTTGGTAAATACACAGTCAGAGTTAGACACTGACAAAGTGCTTATTTCCCTCTGCCTTCTCAGACCGTCAAGTTACTTTGTTGCATCTCATTCCAGTCAAGGGTAAGTAAGTCTGAGTACACAAACTTAAGCATCATCGCATGGTTTTTTCTCACCTGGCCCTTCTAGCCCAGCGGTCACTGGTAGGTCGTCGGGCCACTGCATGCCAATTCCTGATGGTTCCATGGGTCACATCCTCAGAATTCAAATGGATCTAGGAAACAAAAAAAAACAACCCTGTTACAACTGGCTCTAAAATGTTTAAATCAGAAGAGTACAAAACAGACACCAACTGTAACTGCAACCTCTTGCAGCCATCAATGTAAGAAGGGGGTGGGGGGGTGAAAGGAGAACTTCAGGAAGCCATCGACAGGCAAGTTCAAAACTCTTAACACTTTGCAGTCACACAGCTAGCAGCACAAAATACCCCATCTGGTCACCCAACCAGGAGAGCGACTGCAACGGACTTCTCGGGCCTGGCGCCAGGTGACTGGTACGGACAATTTTCACCGTCGCATTATTGCTCCGGGTAACTGCAAAGAGTTAAATCAGAGAAGCAAAAAGCTCAGCATGCACAAAATGAAAATGAACAACGTTAAGAACAACATCCACCAACCCTTGCAGTAATCAACGCCAAAAAGAGGGGAGACCATCCATCTGTTCCATGAAGTCATGCGAAATGCAAGCCCGAAATTATTTTTGTAACCACTTTGCAGCCACTTGGCGCAATAATGCGACGGTGAAAGTTATCCGTTCTGGTCATTCTGCGCCAGGTGCGAGAAGTCCCTTGCAGTCACTTTCCGGGCAGGGTGATCAGATGGGGTATTTTGTACTGCTGACTGTGTGACTACAAATTGTTAAAAATCAGAAGAGAAAAAGCTCAGCCGTCATTAAGGAGAAATCACCTACACCAACAACAACCACAGACCCTCCCAGCCATCAATGCCAAAAAGAGGGGAGATCACCCACTTGTCCCATGAAATCGTCGCTGCTGAAGTTGTCCTTGTCCCAGACGGTGACGATCACGCTCAGGTCTGCGATGCACGTGTCCTCGGGCAGGAGAAACTCCAGAGTTTCATTCCACTCAGGGAAACGTGTCTTCTTTTGTTTCTGTCAGGACATGAGTACATGATTGATGGCAAATAACAGGTTGTAAATGGTTCATGGTAAATGATGGACTCAGCTGTTTGTTTTAGTAAGGTTTTACGGCGCTTGCAACTGCATAAGGTCATATGAGCGCCATGATTGGCTCTAAATGACTGAATGTAAATGATTGATGGTAAATAACTGACTGGTAGTAAATATAAATAACTGATTGTAAGCATTCTGCACCAAGAAAACATGTCTTCTTTTGTTTCTGTTGGAGGAGAAGTAAATTACTGATTGTAAATGATTGACAGAAAACAATTTTTTTCATAGTAAAAGACTGTTTGTAAATAGTGGACAGTAAATGAAAGGTCGAAAACGATTAGCAATGCATGCTCGATAGTAAATGATGGAGAGTAAACTTTTTACATCTAGGGAAATGCATCTTTTGTTTCTGTCAGAGAAGTAAATGGGGGTTCTCGTGGTCGAGAGGTTACAATGTTCGCCTAGTGCAACTATAAGAACTGCAGCCATAATGCTATGCCAATAAAACAGCTTACCGATGTCGCTTTGGTCTCATCAAAACAGCTGACTGTCACATAAGGATCTGAGTAGCCGGTTTTGTCTTTTGGGGCAAGGTCTCTGATAGAAAGCATAGACGGAAGGTGAATAGTGAGAACATGCCATGATTGCAGAAAATAAAACCTTGACTTTCATTATCAGTTGCAGATTGCGTGAACAATTATGCATCAAATTAATTGAAGCTTATTTGAGAAAGAGGAAAATCCTGTAATTCAATCACAAAGTAATTGAAATGGGTATTTTGACATTTAATCTGTTATTTAAATACAAACTAAATTGAGTTAAACACAATGACCAGAGAGTAAGAACAGAGACCTGCCTAGGGTTGAGACCTGGAAGCAAAGTATTTAGAAGCAAATTTCAAATTATTTTCTTGTTTGTTGAAGCAAAGAGAAGTACATCAACAATTTAAAACAGGAAAAGAAGCCAGATGAACAGACAGAAACATCAAAGGTAAATAAAAGAAGTAGGAAATACCGTTGATGCCCTCCAACCATCTGCTAAAATCTTTTTTGCACATACAGAGACAAAGAACAGCCTTCTCTCTCACCTGCCCTCCATGACCGTGACAAAAACAAACGACTGTCCCGTAGCTTCCGAGGTTCGAATTCCATACTCCAGCAACATCTCCCCCTGAATCTCCAGGTCTTTGTTCGCTTTCTGCAGTGGCAGCCACGTCTCCAGGCCTGGTGTGGGAAAGACGAAAAAATCCATCAACAGGGACATTTTCTATATCTAAAAAAAATACCCCCCCGAAAATTAAACTTGTTTTTTTATTTCATACTTTTTTATTTTCAACATTTCACGACTCCATCTACACAATTTACGTAATTTCGGAGATCAGCTGCTCATACTTTGCTAGTTGGGGTCAATTTGGGATGAGTGATTACAACATACTAGAAGAAAGGCGGGCATTTTCTATATGGGAATTGAACTTGTGTCTACTGAATGCGACAGCCAAGAGCCTAGCCGTTACACCACAGATGGCAGTAAAGAAGCACTCTGGGAAGGAAATACTGTGTGACTTTGAAATAAGACTGTATTACAATAAGACGCATGTCTGATTTTCTTTATACCTTTAGGATTTTTGTTTCCATAGAGATAGTCCCTGGTGACTGAGGCTGTTCCAATGATGTCATCCCCACTGCAAAGAGAACATAAGAGAGATATTTGGTGATGTCCCAAGCTCTAACAAGGGGATGAAACAAAATACAAAAACTCATTTTGTCCCGCGCTTTCTGAAGTGGATAAAAGACACAAACTGGATATATCACATTGTCTGTAAAGTGGATACACTTTATGTGGACAAAAGACAAAAACTTTAAATTTCACATGCTCTTTAAGGTCTCATGCTCTTTGAAGTGGATGAAAGATAGAAACTTGTTACATGTCATGCTCTTTATTTAACATGGGAAAAAGAAAAAAAAACCCCAACTTGTTACTTCAAATGCTCTTTAATGTCTCATGCTCTTATAAGTAGATGAAAGGCATAAACTAGATATGTCTCATGCTCTTTAAAGGGATGCAATAAAAGATATAAATGAGCTACGCCACATACCGACATTCTTTAACATCAAAAAAGAAAAATTCTGATGCCACATGCTCTTTAAAATAAAAGGGAAACAGGAGAGAAGTGCATTCCATATTCGTCTCAATGAAAGATCAGCACATAGACATAATCAAGGTTATAAAAAGTTGGGGAAGAGAACAAAGATTCTGCCCCCCCTCCTTCCCCCACAAAAAAAACCCCAACAAACAAACAAAAAACTCCCAGCAAAAAACAAAACAGAAAGGTTGTCACAAGAAGTTAGACCTTCAAAGGAGAGGTTAGTCACAATAGAACTCCGGTACAATTTTGTAATGGTTGTAGAATCTAAATGTTTTTTGAACCCATCTGCGCCATATAGATCATTTCTACTAGGTAATATTCAGACAGGCACTTTGCAAAAGTTATCAATTCTGATCCGCAGAAAGAAGAGTAGAAATTACATCTTTAAATTTGAAAACTGCTTTTACAGTCATCGCTATTAAACATATATGTGTCCCTGCCAGTCAATATTAGTTATGTGAAGGAAATTTCAAAACTGAGTTAACATTATTTTAAAAAAACTATCACCTTTTCCCTACAATTCAAAACAAGAATGAAGTAAATATGACCATATTTGACGAAAATACAGAACTTTAAATTGTGCGAGGTGAGGAAACACGAAAAAGAGAAAAAGGCCTCCGAAGTTGAGCAACATGTTTCCACAGCAATGGGGGTCTTAGAATTGAGATAGAGCCTTGAAATTTAGCAGTTATCTTGATTATGCCACTCACTACAAGGCAACATACAGAGTAGAAAACTATTCATTCACACATTCACAGAGAAAAAACTTATGGACAAAACACAATTTTCACGAGAATAGACTTCCGGTCAAATGTAACAAAATATTAGCATTATACAAGACACCAGATACTAAATTTTCAAAGTAGCAGTATGTCCAATTCAACCGTTTCATATGAAAGGCCTTTGTCTCCTGAGTGTTTTGGTACCATACTTTTACCTCCCAGTCAATCAATGTTTAAGGGAATGGCAACAGTTTCAATTTAACATTATAATCAAATATTGCTGAAGTCGCTAACTGGCTGCAACCCCATGTTTGACAGATAATAAAAGAGTACCAAATGCACCAAACATCACTACATAAACAGAGTACCATCATTATAACAGAGAAATGAAGCCTAATTTTTTTCATGACTTTGAGATCATTGCATTTCATTATTTTATTGCTTCAAACACGATGATCTGTCTTTATTTCAATAAAAACACTGAGCGTTGTCTCGGCCTGCTATTGTAATGAAGAAAATCTTAACTTTTCCAAAGTGTTCAGCATTTGGAGTTTTATAGCAAAAGAGCAAAGAAACAGATCTGAATAGCCCCCATTTTACCGAAACCACGCGCTTGGAAGGCCGCGAGTCGGCTTACGTGCCGTGTTTATGCTACCTAATTATTCGTTTGCAATAGTACCATAAACACACAAGAGCACACACACACACACACACACACACAAAACACACACACATACAAACACACCAACACGCATACACACACATGCACATAGACCCCCTCACTGGCCTCTTGGTAAGGAGTCCGCTTTGAGAGATCTAGAAGAAGGTTAATTAATCTTTTAAGAGCACAAAAACACAATAAAAATGAATTTTTAAAGTCAATCCAAGAGTAAAACAGAAAGATCAACAGACAATAGCAGCTAGCAAGGCCCATCCGCACAGTCAGCTGTTTACTGAAACAAGCTTGGAGTGAGCTAGAAGTTACCTTCTTTACTCCGTTTTACCATTCAGAGTTGTTTACATTTCAGACCATTCATGCTCGAAAAGGGGTTAAAATCTAAAAATAGTGGCGAATGAAGAACGTTGAAGCAAAGGAAGCCATGAGGTAATGGTTCTAAAAATAATCTTACAGCTACACACTAGCAACATCCAAATTCCTTTATCTTGTCATCCAAGCTCCCAACAAACCACACACACCTCCAAAATAAATCAAAATAAAATATTTATAGTCGATTACAGTTGTTTTTATTTTATCTTAAATTGAAGCATAAGACATCAAACTTTCAATATATCCAAAAAACAAAAATTTCATGGAAAGTCAATTTTTTGCCTTTCGAGCCCCATAGCTGATAATAGCACACTGCGTCTTACGACTGATATTGACCAGGGCAGACAGATATATTCCAAAAATTTACCTTGCTAAAAATATTTGCTGAGACAGCTTCAAGCCAACAAGCCCCTTTATGGACCAAATGTCTGACTTTTTTCATTTTGCAAACTGGAAAATAATTTTTAGGGTGTCAAATAATTAAGAACTTCAATTTATGACATTTCATACTGTTCTCTGCAAGCATACAATTTGCACCATGGTATCTAAGCTTAAAATAAACAAAAAGTTTGTCAAAAAAGAGCCACGTTCTTTTTTCACCAATACAAACTGGTTGGCTTACTTGCTTTTCCAAAACAAGATTCGATTTCCATTTACAGCTACAAAACCAAAGGACAGAAGTAAGAATTTTAGCCAGACAATAAATTATAACAATCCAAAGGAGACACATGCCTTTTATTTAATACAGTTATACAGCCCAATTCAGTAAAAAAAAACCCCAACAAACAATCGATGAAGGGATGTCACATTGAATCAAAAACGAATTCAGTCCCTTCCAAAGGAAACTGTACTCCAGTGATGACATTACGATCTTTGCGGATCGTCCTCTCATCAAACCAATAGTACTCCACAGAAAGCTGTATTACTCAGCGCCAAAAAAAAAGAAGAAAATTTTGCTCCAGTACCAACTAATCAGCAAATGACAACTTAAAACACACTTCATGCTTTAACTTTCCTAGTGTTAACATCCACAGGTTTTGTTCTGTGGTGTCACAGCAGATTCAATCGACAGTAATTTGAGCCGCTATTTCGAATTGTTTGTTCCTGGTTTTTTTAATATTGTCAGACATTTCAGCCTCTTAAAAAATGAGCTCTACTTCCTATTTATATTCTACTTTCGGAAAGTGCGTGGGTTTATGATCTTGACTTGCTTGCCTTGCCTTTCCTCAAGCATTTTCCAATATAATATGGTGAAATCCTATAATTCCCCCGACACCACAGGCCATTTTTTTTGTTAGTTATAATCAGAGAGTTAAAAGAAAGCAAGTATTACAAAAAGGGCATGATTTAAGGCATTTGCTTGGATTTTATTAAGCAAAACATGTTTATAAAGAAAGCGTATATTAAAAAAGAGCATGACTTAAGACCATAGTTTGCTTGGATTTTAAAATCCAAAGAACTATAGTAAAAATATATTTTTCAGTAGAGCAAAACCTAAAATGAATAACACATATAAAACTGGAATCTACAGATTACTGACTACTAACAAAAAGCAAAAAAAAAAAAAAAAAAAAAGAAGAAGAAGAGAACATTGCTATTCAGAAAGAAATTACAAAATCATATACAAAAACAAAGCACCCGCATCTATGACATAAAACTACCCAAAATCACACAACCCCTCACCAACCCTCAAAGTAAAAAAAACTTTAACAGAAATCCCTCAAAACAAAGCAAACAAACAAAAGACAACCAAACAGAAAAAAGCAGAATCATTACAAAATTAAAATTATTTTAAAAGCAGTATCATATCTTGGACCAATTTGTATTAAAATAAAGCTGAAAATACTATTTTTAAAAAACAACTAACCTACCTCTTCAAGCACACCATATAAATGAATTTTATTCAATACAAAGTTTCAAACCTCAGAAACTTATCTTTACAAAACACTTATATTGCAGAACTTTGGAATAATGAGGACTCTTCTTCTTCCTACCAAACCCAATAAAATATAGGCCTAAGTGAGGCATTGTTGTGAAATCAGGCGCTCGTTAAAATAATGTAATCGAACAAATCTTCATTTTTCGGCCATTTTCTCGCTAATTTCACTTCTGAAACCAGGCGACCCCACCTCCTTCAATGGAAAATATCTCGACTTCTATTCAAGATAAATGGTTATTTTTTTCATCAAATGAAAGGCAAATGAACAACCTTTAAGATGAAACCATTAACTCCATTTACCAAAAAATTGACAAGAGCCTGATTCCACCGTGTTGTGATACAATAAGTTTACTGTACGTTCCTGACCATATAATGATTGTCTTCACAATTTTGAAACAAACGAAAAAACCAAACGCTTCTGATTTAGATGACAACAGAAGATGCAAAAGTCAGCCAACAGTACTTGAACACTATTTATAAAGCTAATGCTGAGTCTTGACTTGATTTAAGGATCTGCAAATCAATCTCGGCAATGGTAAAGAACAAAACAAAGAGATCAAGTATTTTTTCCAGTTTCACAACTACAACATAACACCATCGATAACTGAAAAGTAGAAGATGGGAAAAATTAAAAGCTCATTCAAAACCAAAAACAACAACAAACAAACAACGCTTTAAACAACATTGAAAGAACACAAAACAGAGTACTTACCTACTGCTTGGGATGAGGTACACAAGAGGTTGGGATGGGCAAACACACACACACACACAAATAACGGGATAAGGGAAAAGAGGGGGGGAAAAAAGAAAAGAGAAAAAACCACGATAAACCAAAATGAAAAAGTCACCCACAATGGGTTAGATTCACATGACTCGTGCAGCAGTACTAGGCATCTTCCAACAAGAATGTGATAACTGTGAGACTTTTTGATGTTGAAAGGTACAACATATTGATGACCTAAGGCACAAACCATCCAACTCCATATTGTTTGTTTGAGTAAAGAGAAGCACAGCGACACAAAAATTGTCATTTAGTGCTGAGAAAATGTCAGAGAGACAGACAGAAACAACAGAGGGAAAGTAAAGAAATGGACCTATCAGTGGCCTCCTCCAACCACCTTCCCAACTCATTATATCTTTCTGGTGCTTTTATGAGTTCAACAACAAGGAAACCCCATTTTACATTATGTTTAATTAAATCTCAGCTGTCAAATCAATATATAACTTTACAAAACAGTCATGCGATCAAAGCTTATATCAAAGGCAAGCTTATATTGTCTGCAATCTGCTCAAATGTATTAAGCTAAGAGAGAAACATTTTTCAGGAGAGAAAAAAACTGCTTCATTCTTTTAATTATTGTGCCAACATCATAATTTTTTTTCTTGCTTTTGTCCAATGTTTAGAATTTGAATTTCGACAAAATATTTCTTCTGCACACATAACCGAACCAATACCACAAGTTCAGAAAATGCAATTTAAAAAATGTCAAAATGTTGGACACCTTAACAGTTGGTCGACTTTATGCCTTGCCATCAGTCTTGAGAAAATCAGATTTTTTTTTCTCCAGTAAAGAATATGCCTCCAGACTAAGATGGTGTGTATCATACACCATCAATACATGTCCTGCCATCAATCATGATAACAATCCTCACATGAATGAGCAAACAAGTTCAGAAAATGCAATTTAAAAAATGTCAAAATGTTGGACACCTTAACAGTTGGTCGACTTTATGCCTTGCCATCAGTCTTGAGAAAATCAGATTTTTTTTTCTCCAGTAAAAAATATGCCTCCAGACTAAGATGGTGTGTATCAGACACCATCAATACATGTCCTGCCATCAATCCTGATAACAATCCTCACATGAATGAGCAATTCTAAATGAATTTCAACATTCTTTCAGAGTTGGTTTGCTTTGACCCTGTCTGTCAGGGCATGGTTTTGTTATGTAATACCAAGATGAACCGAGTGTTTACAGACAGTATGTCTATTTAAATGAAGCCAACAATTTGTCCCTCTTTCTTCTATATTTGCCCATTACACCAAATGGGAAGTTGAACACAATAGGTCCTTCAGGGCAACACATGTCCATTTGACCAAACAATAGAAGGTAAACTCATACAAGAGTCATTTAATCATCATAAGACAAGGCAGTCTTAAAAAATAATCTGCTACCTATTAATACTATGGGCAATGAGTGGGGGGGGGGGGGGGGGGGGGGAAAAGGTGAAGGAAAAAAAGGGGGGGGGGGGGGGTGGGAAAAAAAAAAAAAAAAAAACCAAAAAAAAAATCCCCAAAAAAAACAAAACAACAAAAAAAAATTTTTTTCTTTTTAAACCCCATGTTTGGCAATTTGGGCCTTTTTTTCTAATCAAAACACATGAAACCGAGTTTCTTCAATTTTGAGAAAGGATTCGTTAAGAATTTTGAGCAGTTACTGGGCCTAGATAGGCCCACACTTTTGAGTGTCAGCATCTTTGAGGTCTTTGATATGAGTCACTTGCACGTGAGACACCGTAACCTTTTCATCCTACTGGGTAGGAGAAGAGCTCCATCATCATATGAAACTGCTCATCAGAAGTGTGATAAATCAGACAAAACCTTACTTCCGCCCCCCCCCCCACCACACACACACACACACCATATTCCATTAACCATATCTGCAAAATCAGAGACCCCCCCCCCCAAATACAATAACATCCCTAAGGGAAAGAAACCACACTTAACAACGAGTTCTGTCTCACAATGGAACTGGCCTATAGCACACTACTCCATTCAAACAGAAACCAGAAATCATTCATTGAAAAGCATAAAACCACTATGAAAACAATGGTTAGAAGAAAGAATATAATAACATTGACCAAGTGTCAAGACGTCAGAGGAACACTGACGAGCCCAATAAAAACATCATTCAAAATTGAGGTGGGTTTGCCACAATGAAAACTCTCAAGCCAAGTGCAGACGGCAACCCCCCTCCCTATCCCCAAAATATAGCTGTATTATTCACCCGTCATAGTTGTAGCCCCCTCAGAGAGGCATGGATACAAATTTTGGTGTTTCTTGTTTCACCATGAGCATTTAACAGAAATATCTAATAACTGAACGTTCTGTTTGACTTACTGCACTTGCCCTTAGTGGTGTGATAAATATAAGAAAACTGTGGCAAAATGACGGCAAAAACATAAGAAAAACAAACAATTTTTCAAACTTACACACAAGATTACAATGCATTTCTCATTATACAACACCAAATGTTAGAAGGAAAAAAAAATTTACAACGAACATAATAACATTAAAATGAATTAAAACCCTAAAAGAATATAGAGTTAAAACCCTTTGTTGAATATTCATATTCAATATAAATATTCCACAAAGGGCTATATTAACCCTGTCAGTACCCAGCGTGCTAGGAATACGGTCCCATGGGGTTAAAATTTCACACGTCCAATGTTTACTGTCTTGATCATATCATGTTACAACCTTGCACCCCCAGACTGAAGTCTTAAAAAGTAAACCCCCCCCCCCCCCACCCCATTCGGCAAGAAAACAATATAACAGAGATGTAAGTTGAAAGAAGGCATTATAGCTTGCAATCTAAATAAAAGCAACGAAGCTTATGGCCAGCCATAATTCCATATATATTCATTCTAACACGTTCAGCAAGGTAGCCTGACACACGCTCCAACATCAGAACATACAGCGAGGCAGCCTGATACACCTTTCAATTCTAGGATTTACACCTAGGCAGCCTGGAACACGCTCCAATGTTGGGACATGTTAACAGCTCGGCCCGACAAGTGCTTCAATACTAGGACATACAGCAAGATAGTCTGCTGACACATGTTCCAATATTGGAACACGGAAATTTAGTGAAGCAGCCTGATAAGCGCCCCAAAGTTGGGACATATATAAAAAGGCTGCCTGATACACGCTCCACGGCTGGGACATACAATACAAGCAGGGAGCCTGACACACGCTTCAATGCAGGGACACACAAGCAAAGTAGCTGGCACGCACTCCAATGTCAGGACATATATATAACAAGGAAGCTTGACACGCCCCTCCAATGCCAGGACACAAAAAAGGCAGCCTGACACGCTATTGGGGTAAACAGCGAGACAGCCTGGTTGGGACTTAAACATAACACTATCATTCACATATTTACCTGACTTTGTCTGCATCGTAAATGTAAAAGCTCAAAGTCTGGAAGCCACTGGGCATGTGTAGGATAAATTCTTCTCCCCAGAGAGGATCAAGGGTTTTGTACACCGTAGCTGTCCTGAAAGAGAAAATATCACCCAGAGGTGCCAACTGACATTGGAAATAAATTCTGAACTTTTCGGATCCCTTGGAAATATATATGCATGCCTGATACACGGTCCACGCCACGGCTGGGACATACAATACAAGCAGGGAGCCTGACACACGCTTCAAAGCAGGGACACACAAGCAAGGTAGCCTGAATAGATTCTGAATTTTTCGGATCCCTTGGAAATATATGCATGCAGGGACTTTAAATTTACAGATCGTTTTTGTCCTTTACAATCCATGTCAAGACTGTTTTATAATACAAAATGAAATGTTCTCGACAATCGCCTGAAATTGGGAAAAATCTTGATAATTTCAGGAATCTGGATTTCCAGATTTAAGAAGAAATTCTGCACCTCTGATCATAGTTTAGTTAGAGTATTGTGAGGGGTTCAACCATTCAATACAGTGAAGTTATAAAAGAAACGGGACAGAACTAAAAGTAAAGTCAATCTGATCTATAAATGTGGCACGACGCAGCGAAATCAGGTTCTCGTCAATTTTCGGGCATACGAAGTTGATGGTATCATCTTAAGGCCAATCCATTTTCCTTGTTTTGGGTGAAAATAATAACCATTTATGTTGAATAGAAGTCGAGATATGTATGATTGAAGGAGGTGAGGGTCGTCAGGTTTCAGAGGTAAAATTAGCGAGAAAATGGCCACCAAAGTTGAGTTATTTCTTTAGCCTGAGAGTCTGTGGAAACTGAAAATTTACATTTCTTCTGCCTTTAATCAGCGTTTTTAAGTAAAATCCACAACAGAAATGTGCTCTTTAAAGGGCATGAAAAGTGTTGAACCAAAAAACAAAAATTTGATTAAAATTCCCAAATCTGCGGGAAAATGCCAATTTCTTGACGTTCATTATTTTGATGAACCTGATTTCACCATGCTACCTCACATATATATGACTGAGCTAAGAAAGTAGACAGAAAAAACTCATCAAAAAGCTTGGATAAAAGAATGTTTGATCATAGACTCAAACAAGGTAAGGGGGATGCCTGCACAGATTTCAAGCCTACTGTCAAATGATGTTATTGTACCTGGGAGGGAGGGAGGGAGAGAGAGAGAGAGAGAGAGAGAGAGAGAGAGAGAGAGAGAGAGACAGAGAGACAGAGAGAGAGACAGAGAGACAGAGAGACAGAGAGACAGAGAGAGACAGAGATACAGAGACAGAGACAGAGAGATACACAACATTAAAGAAAGAAAAAATACAGTGCTATATCTATGTAAGAAGACATACAATGATGATATGAGGTCTCACCTGGCAGTAACAACATTATCCACCTTTATGACACAATAGGGGTCACTTTTTCCATTGCTGGGGAAAAGAAACAGAAAAATGCCATTTTAAAGTGCCATCAAACAATGCATACACTAATAATATAATATTAATAAAAAATTTAGTTTTGCAAAAATAGTCTTTGGAAAAAAAAAGTTATAAATTATATATATATACAGTGTACATGTGGAGATTCTCTAACTAACCATGCAATTATAACATTAATTTGACACTACTAAAAACAACCTCAGCACAATTCACATAATAAATTTCATGCCAGAACGAGAACTCCATGAAACAAAAACTACATATGTGGACCACTTTTTTTTAAAAGAGGAGGAGAAGTCTTTATCAGAGAAAGTCAGAGCAACAAAAAAGGTAAATGAAAGGAGCAAAGTGTATAAATGACATCAACAATGACAAAGACCCTTGAATAAGAAAAGGGTCATGGTTACACAGAGCAATGCAAACCAGCCAATCGAGAGAATAAGATGTCACAATCTTGCCACTAGTTGTCACACTGGTACAATTTTCTAAATATATATATAGAACTAGATATAGAATCAATCTTGTTAAAAAGAAAACTAAAATATTTTTTCAGGTGAAAGAATCTATGTCCATAAACAGGGCATATATATATAATAAAAACATAAAAAATGACAATGATGTAACCCCAAACCCCAGGAAATTAACCCCTATCCCTCGGGTCCTGAATTTCATGCACATTGATCAGAGTATTTCGGCCCCCTCGCTTTCTAGTTGGTCCTGAAGCAGCATGACCCTACTTTGCTTACGCACTTCTTTCATCTTCGCCGTTGAACAAAATATTTAACCATCTTTATTTCTTGTTGATTTACCGTCATTTCATTGAAGGTAACATGGCATCGTTGTAATCAAACAGTTTATTTTTTTTTCTGAGGGAAAGAAGCAATATAGATCCAAATCTAGACATTCATTACCAAGTTACCTGACTCAAATTGATTAAATTATAATATCCCACAAAAAAAGTGTGTACAAGTTAAACCTATGATTAAATCTAAAATTAAGTTTGTATTCAAAGCCACTCATCCTTAGGTGTACCTGGTGGAGATCTGATTCTGTCTCTTATACAAATAATTAAACAATCAATGACAATGCAGAGCATGACAAAATATCCTGTAATTGAAACAAATGTTAAAAACAGAACTCAAAATCAAGCATGCACACATCCAGTTTAAACTGCATATCAGATTTAATATATACGTGCAAAACATAAATCACGAACGCTTGCAAGATTGTGGGTTGAAAATATCCATGCTCGTGCAAGTTACTGCACAATCGATGTGCATGACTGGAACCATCAAAGCCAGTTGGTTGTAACTTGAAAGAGAAAAGAAGGCAGCTAAGGGTAGCCAACTCTGAACACAGCAGACCACTTACAAGTCTTTGGCAAGCAGTTCTTTCGCCTCGGACACCCTCAGGTAGAGTGTTGTATGAGTTGATACCATTCTCTCAAGCACAGCTCGGTCATCATATGCTATACATAGTGCTCTTATGTATCCCCTGCTTGTTTACTCTCTTGTACACCCTTCCATCTTCGTTATTGATTATTTTCCTGTCGAAGAGTTGTTATGATTGTTATCGGAAGTGATGTCATACAGAGATTTCTTATCAATTATTATGTGCTGTAAAATTGGTTCCCTATACGCCATTGACTTAAAGTGTAAATCATATATATTCATTTATACATTAATTTCTTGTCTTATACCTTAGAATTTATTACTTAAAGCAATGCAGTAATGTTTAATAATCATGAAAAAATGTGATGCTTTAAAACTCAATTTCTTTCATAGATAATTTGCTATTTGAGTTCAAAGGCGATAAAAGAACCGGGTATAATTTTATAAATATACAAACGGTGAGGTGTATTTAGTCAAAAAAGAAAGAAATAATCGAACCGTATTATTGTTGCGACTTCACATGTGTGTTTGTTTACAACCCTCTATCGATGCGAGTGGAATCATACAGACATGCCGAAAAGAAAGCTGCAAGCTCCTTCCACCAGGTTAAGGGTTTTGTAAAATTCTGCTCATTCTAACAGACTAGTTTTTCAAGAATCGAGATAGGGATCAAGTCTAGATCTAGAAGTAGAATCTAACTGCCTCACTCACCAGTCACCAGTCGTGACCAGTACTCTGATGGTTGTACTGTCTCTACTTTAGTTTTAGTTTTAGGTTTTTAGGCAGGCTAGCGAAGAACTCTAGACTATCCTTGACTAGATGGTCTACTTCACCAGACTTCTGACTTTTCTCTATCGAACTAAAGACTTCACTTCATATCACAGGAAGGCCACCTCTATTCTCACCCGGAGTGAGAATAGTGCAGGCGAGTCTTGTGGCTATTCTCACCCGGTGCGCGTTCACCAAATTTTGCGTTCACCCTAACCTAAACCACAGAATTCTACACTGTGATAACAGAAAAATTGTAGAATTCTGTGCCGTGAACAAACGTTCCATTACAACTGTAGCCTACTAAAAGCGTACAATTTTGTCTGTGGGCAGTGGAGAGAGAGAGAGAAAGAGAGAGAGGAGTAGCGCGAGAATTTCCGGGCAAAACAAAATGGCGACCCGCGTAGTTCGGCTTGATTCGAAAAGTTAAATAGCCGTAGCATCTTTGTAGACAACCAAATTAATTTACTTTTGTGTTTTAACATCATTTTTTAACTTTGTATTGGTCAATTTGATCGTCCACACAGATAGACAGTATTCAGAAAGAGACAGAGAGTAGAGAGAAAGAGAAGAGGGGAGGAGTTGATCTTGCGAGAACTTCCGGGCGGGTGAGAATAGCCACTTCCTCACAGGAATAGGTCATAGGTGTTGCTTCATCCTTCCATTACGTATAATCCCTACTGACCTACTCTGTTGTTTACAGTTTAGACCTAGTTAATAGTCTCCCAACAAAAGGCCACCGCTATTCTATTATAGCGCAGGCCAGCCTTTTGGCTATTCTCACCCGGTGTGCGTTCACCGTGATAGGCCAACCAGTGTAGCGTACACCGTGAACATTGAATAAACGTTCTAGAGCACTTAAATGTCTGCAGGCAGTGAGAGAGGGAGGAGTAGCAAGAACTTCCGGGCAAAATCATGAAATGGCGACCTGCGTAGTTCGGCTCGATATGAAAAGTGAAATAGCTGTAGCATCTTTATAGACGACCAAATTTTAAAATTTTTGACCTATAACATCATTTTTAAAATTTGTTTTTGTCAATTTGATCATTAGCAATGCCCACCGAGCGCGTTTTGTTCTGTCGATATTTGGCCCCCGCCACGGGGGTGTTTCATGGGTCGAACTAACGCAAAGGTTGTTGTCTTCAACTCGCTCTCACGCCGCTTCTTCTGAATGGATATGAATTAAACTTGGCAGCCAATCAGAAAAGAGGTCTATCTCATAGTATGCAGAGATTGATAACTTTGTATCCATCCAAGAAGCAGTCGAAAGCATTTGCGAAAGGGGTGCGCATTGAAGTTTTTCGGAGCTGTGATTTGTCAAACTGACTGATAAGTTGTAATTTTTCTTTATTCCCTTAAGATTTCATGCTTCTGTGTTTAGCGTTTTTTTTCGTAATTTTAAAAAATGTGGGAGTAACTAAGGGAAAAGTGGCTTTGCCATTTGTGCTTGCTGGGTGCACAACCGGCGGCTGGGAAATTTCCACTGAGTGACATCATCAGCCATCGGTCACCTCAGGCGCTACAATCGAGGCCGGAACGGGTGGGGGGTGGGGGTGGGGGGTGGGGGGGGGAGGATACTTGAAAACTAAACGGGGGCCTTGATAACTTGCATTTTTGTTGCATTTTAGTCACAATACAATAGATGTAGTCCTTTTTATTTGCTTGATTGCATGACAGAAGAATAGAAACAGAAAAGCAAACATCTTGAGAAGTGGTGTATGGCATTGTGTTTGCGTTATATGAAAGCCTATTCCCCCCTCTTGGGAAAGCACACATTTGGATTCATCCTGTTTGCTCTATTTGGAAAAGTGAGGCATTAAGATTGTTATTAAAGAGTATGGTACTTATTTAGTCCAGTCGGGAAGGTAGTCCCGTTTATACATTGTTATCGTTCACGCGTGCGTGCGTGAGTGTGCGCATGTGTGTGTGTGTGTGTGTGCGTGAAAGAGAGAGAGAGAGAAGGGTGGGGGGGGGTGTAAATATGTTACATTTATAGTATGAGTTGTAGCCAACACGTATGCGAAATATTCCCATGACTTGTAAACTATATTATCTAAACACATCTTAATCTACCACACAATAGGACACTGTCCAACAATGGATATACACAGAGATGATCTTATTTTCTATTTCAAAGTATGCATTAGTCTAACAAATCCAGTTCTCGACTTACATTTTTGGACAAATTGATCCAGAGCAATGCTTGGCAAGGATGAACCTTTTATTTTGCCCAGCTTCATTCAAATATCATGACTTGAGAAGAAGATATGACTGATAATCTTTGTAAATCTGTAAAGAACGCCACTTTTTTACCTGTTAATGTCTTTACAACTGAAAAAGTATGATAGATATTAAAAATCTGACAGCATGACTAGATTCTGCATTAAAAATTGTACTAGACTACCCAGTTTCATTTACATACTCCCAGAAATAGGCGAGCTATGACAGATATTGTCTCAAAACACACCGAAAACCACCACATTTTTACCTATAAACGTCTTCAAAAAGTAGGATAGCTATGAAAAATCTGAAAGCAGGACTAGATTCTGCAGTAGAAAATGTACTGGGTTGCCAAGTTTCATTTAAATACTCCGAGAAATGAGCGAGTTATCACGAATATTGTCTCAAAACTCACCAAAGAACGTCCCATATTTTGGGTTCTATTCATCTATTATCAATTGTGGATGCCGAATTTTGCTATTCGAAAGGCTTTTTAATGGTTGCATTGATCGACATGCGGTTTTCGCTAAAATATTCTTTAAAATATTCTCCAGATCATGACACCCTTGGTTTTTTTCAGTTTTGTGACAGTTTTGCTGCAAAAAATTTAATTTCTTTATTTCGCCGATCGCTTTTGTAGGTCGACGCTTCTGTCTCTGTAATTTTAGAAAATCCGGAAGTGATATTTCGTGGCGAGGCGCATTTTGTTTTGAGAGTATAGATCTAAATCTTCTAAATTTTTTTCACCTCTCAAGATTTATTGCTCCATTCCAGTAGAGTGTAACTATAATAGGTCAATGACTTTCAGTTGATGTTAATGCTCCGATCATTCCTTTCATCGAAAGGGGGCCCAGCTAGTTATATATGAATATAAAAGTGTAAGAAAAATAAATTGATTAAAAAATTCGTAACTTTTTTGTCTATTGATGGATTTCAAAAATTCAAAAAGTTCCATGCTCTGTGAAGATACAGCTACATAATGCACCTATTTGCAAACACATCTCTGACTCAAAAAGGTTTTTCGTGGTCATTGCTATACACTGATAGACAGTATTCAGAAATTAGGAAAAACGTCTTGTTTCACACTGGGTGAGAATAGCCAATGCTGGCAAGTCTCACACGGGGTGAGAATAGCCACTTCCCTCCCAAAAGTGGGATAATCCAATCCGGTTTTGGCCTCAACTAGATCTAATTAATAAGGCCGGCTGTATTCAAACTCGAGTCCGATTAGATTTTTTTATCTATTCAGACTCGAGTCCGAACATGGGATTTATTTATTTGGACTTGGGTCCGAAAAAATTCTTTTATATATTCGGACTCAGCTTCTAGATCTAGGAATTATAAGTTATAAATGTGAGTGTAAAGAGATTACATAATATAACAGTCGTCGGGGGATTTTATGTAAAACAAGACTTAGTTACTAGATAACCTATTAGGACTGTGTAATTGTGTCAAAAATCAAAAGACTGCACTCTCATTGCCCAATGGCAGTGTGTAAGTACACAATGACCGACACCTCAGAGTCTTTCTACCGCCACCACTACAGCATCATCATATCATTACTGCCACTACCACTACCGTAAATTATCTTTCCACATGTTAAATTTCTTTTTGTTGTGTATTATAGTTTTTCTGTAATTAATTTTTCTTTAATCACATCGCACAAAATGGACAGCCGTGGCCTCTTCCCAACACCTCTTCCCACAGCATGCCGAGAGTGCATGATCGCTACGCGCAGTCTCATTGGTCGACATAATTAACTTTGCCCCCGCAAGGTCAACTCAACTTGGTTGTTCTGTTCATACTAATGATGCAGGGAGGGCCAGTTTAGATAGATCTCGATTGTTATCGAAACAAGTTTCATAAATGCTGGAAATATTTAGGAACAAGGGTCGGAAGTCGGAACGGACGTCATGCTGGACTCATTTTAGAGTCCGAATATAATTTTTGTCTATATTCGGACTCGAGTAATTAATACTATAATAGAGTGTGGCTTCACTGACGAGTACTTCTGGGGCACTCTTCGGGAGAAGTGGTCCCGGCCTAACTCTATAGAAATTACACTTGTAATCGGAAACGAAAACAGAAGTCGAGTAAAAAAGCTGACTTGAGTTGCCAGGGTGAAAAGACCACTCAATGAAGAAAAAAATGATGTAGAAAAAAATTCTAAAGTCGAATAAAAAAAAAAAAAATATATTGAAGACAGCTTTTTTTTTACTTAACTTCCGTTTTTGTTTCCGATTACAAGTCTTAGTGTTATTTCTATGGAGTTAAGCCGGGACCACTTCTCTCAAAGAGTGCCTCTTCTGGTTCTAAGTTGAATCTTCTAAACAATTACTTTTGAACACATGAAGCTACAGAGAGCACCTTGCACTGGCCCATATTTAGATGACGTATTTATGCCATCTTATTTTTGTCGTCTTCCAGGGTTTCCCTAACAAGTTGACAAGATCTATCACTATTACCCTTTATTGTTATTCTTTCATCATCATAATAATAGTGATCTTTCTTTCCATTCTGTATAACATAATTTACAATTGGAGTACATTTTGGTATTTCTCAGCCATTCCAGACACTCTCATATTTCTCAAGCACTCACATAGATGAACATACATTCACATACACACACAAACACACGCACATGAACTAAGAAACGGGAAGATTCAATTATGCACACATGGGCACGTTGGTAGATGCACACACGCATAAACACACACACAACCACTCACACAAGGCAAAGATAGGTATATTAAGATACATATTTAGATAAAGTTGTGGCTATTCGGACTCAAGCTCCAACGTGCGTGCGCAATCACCGGGTGTACCGGATGTGAAGCGGACAGGCAGTTTGTTTGACCATGGCAACAGCTTAAACAGCTTTCACATTCAACCGTCTTCATTCGACCATCATCAATTTCCTTACAATCACAACACTCATGCAGATCTTTCTCCTTCTTGGTAGAAGTGCGCTCCTGGAGTGCCTCCCATGCCTCCTCATCAAAAGATCTTCTACTATCAACACATCTACAAATACACGCATTAACGAATGTATCTTTTCTGGAGTCTTCAAATCTGATATCTTTAACAGGGCACAACACAACCTGCCAGAATCAGCTTGTTTTTCTCTTCTTGGTCTTTAGCTTGGAAGTCAGTCGGCGTTTGACATTTTCGTTTCCTGTTTCGTTTAGTGAAAGTTTGGTTTTGATTGGTCCGAACCCTGACTTTTGGCTGAGTCCGTCTGATATACCGGCAAAACGGAATTTCTTCTGCACTCTTTTTCTACCAGTTCCACCCTCTTCAAAATCATCTAAATTCCCCAACTTCAATTCTACTGGTCTGGTTTCTGTCTCTTCTGCCCGCCCTGCGTCCCCCTTGACAGTGACAGCTCCTAATGTTTCTCCTGCTCCTACTGTCCGCACCAAAACCAAGATATTGCAATCCTTCTTATTTCTTTTGTCCCACGCCGTGGTGGGCCCGCTTTGCCGCTTAGCACGTGATGGGCTACGTCACTAGGGGACACGAGGTTGGTTTCATTGCCGACTGCTTTGTGTGTGTGTGCGTGCTCACAACTTTGTTTGGGGAGGAGAAGAGGAGGTACAGAAAACTGGAAATCAGTAAACAAAGACGAGGAAAATTATTTAATGATTTTAAACGACAAGATGTTCACCGATCGAACTCAGTTTGCTGTGCAGTCATTTGATATCTTTGCCCGCACTGTTCCCCCTGACAGCTCCTAATGTTTGAGTCCGAATAGCCACGGGAGGCTATTCAGACTCAGGTCCGAATAGCCACTTTGTTTAGATAAACACCCTTTTCAGTTTATATTCATACTTACAATTACACTTGTCACCTTCATTTTCATTCAAGTTATTTGAAAAAGAACTGTAGTCTTCAATCAAATTATCATATTCCTTAGTTTTCTAGTCAACTCGTTAGGGAACCCCCGGAAGACGACAAAAAAAGATGGTGGAAATACGTCATCTATACTTGGGCCAATCACAGGTGTGCTAGGTGCTCTCTGTAGCTTCATGGCTTTTCGACAAGCATGCTGATATGTCTGACTCGCGGCGAGCAAGAGATATCAAACCTAATTACAAAATATCAAATTATGGTTAAATTCAGGAAGGCATGTCCCCCCTGAAACCCCCCATATTTTTATAAGGTCGCCCCCCCCCCCCCCCCCCCCCCCCCTTGTTAAAAACGCATGAAATATTACTGCTCATTTTGTACTGAAAAATAGCAGGACGTCTCTCACTTTCTTTTGGATAAAACATCGATACTGAGTATTTCAGTCAGTATTCATATCCAGTTCTCTTCGGGCCAAAATAGGAGAATGCTCCAAAAGTGACTCACTTTTACTATTTACGAAGGATTCGGGATTGATTAATTACCTACTCTTATGACAGGAACTGTAACTTATATTTCTTTTTAGACCTGTGGTTTTGTATTAAAATTCATTGTGTTTCTTTGGGCTGGGAGCAAAGACCATCTTCTCCACTGAATTCAGAAAGGGTTCTAGGCGCAAAAATATAAATGAGATATATCTGGTCTAGTAGTCAGCCCTGTCTGTCTGTCTCCTGCTCTTGGTGTTGCTTCTGAAAAGTATTTTTGCTTTTCTGTCCTTTCTTGACTTTTGTTTATGTTTAAGTTGGCTTTCTGGTAGTTTGTCAGCAGCTGACAGGAGAAAGGGTTCAATGGGTTAACAAGACCATCTGGTGGTTTTCTCATACTTTTTTTCATTCTGTCTGTCGTATAGTGAAGCAGTGGAAGGAATAAATCCTGATGAAAAGCGAGTGCAGTGTGTTTTCAAGTCTGAAGATGGTGAGACAGAAGGATCTCCTTTCGAGTTGCCTACAGATATAACAAGGGAAAAGCTGCAGCTTGTTTGTGATGCTGTGATCCCAAATGTAAGTAACTGAAAATAATGACGATTTTCTTTTGGAATTAGCAATAATTTGTTGCGATTTGGGTAAGCTTTGACATCTTTATTGATCAAATAATTATGCTCCTTTGATTTTGCAAGTTTAAAAAAAATGTTTGCTGTTGTAGTCTTGTTTTTTTATTGTCAAGATAGAACTGTCAATTCTAAAATTTTGGTCAAATATATAAAGTGGCAAAATTCAAGACTCTAAGTGTATGTGAAATATAATTTTTGGGGGAATGTAGTGGAAAGCATGGATGATGAAGGGCTGCACAAATGCAGGTCAAGTTATGTGGGTCTCTTAAAAACAGGAAATAACACATTAGTATCATTGTGATAAGTGATGATATTGAATGCAGTCAAACCTGCATCTGTAACAGCCGCCCGTATTATAAGACAATCACCTGTACAATAAGACAATTGCCTGTACAAACGGCAACTTCCCATTTCCCCCTTTTGTTTTTTTTTTGTTTTAGTAGAGGTTTTACGGCGCTCGCAACTGCATAAGGTCATATGAGCGCCTCCCCCTTTTATGCTTTTGGTTGTTTTTTAAAACATTATAATGAGACTTTGTAAGACGTCCGCTTTCCTACTTGACAATAGGTGGCCGTCTTTGACAATTTTGACTGTATTTACTATTATTTTTAAAAACGTGGTTACATTTTTCATTTGCTTCTTCTTCTTTTTTTTTTTTTTTTTTGCAGGAGGACAAAGTGCCATACGCTTTTTTCGTCAATGGGGTGGAGATTAGAGAGACGCTGGCAAAGGCTGTGGGAGAGGAAGTGCTGTCTTTAACTGAGAAGTCCGTTGAGATTGTGTACCAGCCTCAGGCTGTGTTCCGCGTGCGTGCTGTGACGCGCTGCACCAGCTCTCTAGAGGGACACGGCGATCCTGTGTTGTATGTGTCTTTCAGTCCGAGTGGCAGGTGAGATTTGGATGGAGGGATAGTGGAGGTAAAAAAGTATTGGAGAGGGTGCTTTAGTATGGAGTTTTCTGCTTTGACAAGATGTGGTTGGTTGGAGGGCGATCCATTTCTGCTAAGTACTGGATAAAATCGGAGCTGTTTTGAGGTTCTTTTTTAAGAACATAATGTTTTTAAAACGAAGAATCCCTATCAGATTAGCAAAAAAATTTCTTTTTTTTTTTCAGTCTCCACGAGGTTGTATGTAACTTAGGAAAAATGAAGTAAAAATACATCGTTTTATGTGCATTTACATTGAACGTGTCCAAGGCGGAACCTCAATAGAGCCAGAAAAAAAGTTCAGTCTTAAACATTTTCCATCTTGGACAGGGGAATTTTGTGCGAGAGGGTGGAGAAGGGTTCTAGAGGGCCTGTATGTGGTGGGATCAAGGGTTGCCTGTCCAGTTGACCAACAGTGGTAAAAGCTTCACGTCTCTCAAGCGCTATCCTAGTCTCTCTGATAATAGCACGCTCAGTCCTATATATCCATTGTCACCAGTGCTTGCATCGGATAGGACTACTGTTCAGCCAAATTTAAAAACAAGCCCCCTTCTGTGTAATAAATATTTTCAACCAATCCCGTCAATTTAACTTTTTTTCTCTTGGCTCTCCGTCTGATCAGGGTGGCAGGCATTGGTCAAATTGATAATTAAATTCACACCTCCGGCTACTGAGAAAGTTTCAGTACTGGAGGGATACTCAAGCACTTTCATAAGCAGTGGTGAGATTTCACACTCACACCACCCTTACCATCTGCACCACTAAGGGCTCACATGGATGGCGTAACTGCAAAGACTTTAGAATTCATAACCTGCTTGAGTGACAGCTACCTCCAAGCTGCCGTCCTTCTCCCCTTCTTTGCCTGGCTGCATGGCATAAAGGTTAGAGCCGATGGAACCAAACTTGGGGGAGTTTTTGTTCCAAACGAGGTTTGAGCATCTTGGACATGTCAAAATCTCCCAAAGGAAAGAAATTTCTTTTTCCGTTTCCAAGTTGAGCCGTTTTCTGTTTTAAAGAGGTAATTATAGAGGAATTTACAATCACAATGACAGTCTTTATTCATCTCGCAGGGAGAAATTTGTCTTGGTCATTAACAATGACAGTAGACGTTACAAAGGTTAGGTGCACTCACGCATACGCACAACAAGACAGGACATTAGTATGCCTCACGTGCTGGGACAACCCGCTCCATAAAAAATTCTCTCTCTCTCTCTCTCTCTCTCTCTCTCTCTCTCTCTCTCTCTCTCTCTCACACACTCTCTCTCTCTCACACACTCTCTCTCTCTCTCTCTCTCTCTCTCTCTCTCTCTCTCTCTCTCATATACTCATTTGTAGCACTGTGTGTTCAGTAACCTCACTGCAGTTGGTACAAATGAATTTCTATATCTTTCTGTTCTTGCTTTTTTGGAAATGTATCGTTTACTGTGGGTCAATTGTTGAAATTCCGATGTCAGTGGGTGGCTATGGTCACTAAGCTTTATTTCCGCCTTTTTTAGAACGTTTGTCTTGTGCAGATATTCAAAGAGACTTAGGTCTCTACCAACTGTTCTTGATGCCTTTCTGATCAACTTGTTTATTTTTATGATGTGCTGCCTTCCCAAATTGCTACCATAGCAAGTGCTACCATAATTTGTCAAAGTTTCTGTTGTGGTGGTGTAGAATATCTGAAGGATGGATGGATTCAGATGAGATTGAAAGACCTTAGTTTCCTCAGAAAGTACAGCCTCTGATTTACCTTTTTAACAATATTGTTTACGTGATTTTGCCATGTAAATTTGCTGTCGATTGTGAGACCAAGATATTTGTATGAATCTGTGATTTATCAAGGGGTCTGCGAGAAGATTTCACTGTGACAGGTGTGTCTGTCTTGGACAGGTTTCTGTTGAAGCAGGTTTGACTGTATTTGCAATATTGGCTTGACTTATTATAAATGATATGAAAATGCACATTTTTGTTTGCATTTATTACAATATTGACGTGATTTATTGTAAATGCTATGAAAATACACATTTTTATTTGCAGTATACATTTATGTGGCCTCCCTGTATTTTTCACTGCTCTAGTCCTGTATTCCTCAGGTGGTCATTGTTGGTTGGTTGTTTTTTTTTTACATTTATGAATTGTAACCATTGCTGTTTTGACTTGCCTTTAGCTACCACTGAACAACAGCAGTAGTGACTTTCTAAAAAAAATGTGGTCAGGCAAATTTTTCTAATATAAAAAAAAATTATCTTTTGAGGAGTCTTGTCTGTCTGCTCAGATGCTGCCTGACAATGAAGAAGCAGCCTTCTTCCTAAGTGATCTAAATTTTGTTGGGGTGAGGGGAATGGCAAAAAACATAAACAGTTAGTTACTGTATCTCTCAACCTTTTCAGGTTCCTAGCAAGTGGCTCCAGTGACTCCACTGTGAGGTTTTGGGACATCAATACAGAAACCCCAGAATTCAGGTGTAAAGGTGAGACCTTAGGGTAAATCAGCATAATGGTGAGGCATTTTGGTAAGTCGGGTGTAAAGGTGGGACGTCATTGTAACTCAAGTGTAAAGGTGAGTGGTTAGTGGGTGAAGTTGTATAGCCTGCATGTCTTTGCACACATCAACGATTGCGGCCAACTGGTTACTGTTTCTGTAAGACGTAGCACCAACCCCACGGTGACCTTGAATCTGTGTACTAGATTATTTAAGTCAGTTCCAAATGGGACTGGGGGTTGGAGGGGGGGGGGGGTGTCCAAGTCTACTTTTTCTACCCTTTATTGTAAATCGTATGTAGAGGTAAGACATTATTGTAAATCAGATTTAAAACGGAAATGTTCTTGTAAATCAGATGTAAAGCTGAGATATTGAAAATTGGGTGTGAGACATTACATTTTGAATCAGGTGTAAAAATGAGACGTTTTTGTCACCAAAAAAAGTCTAGTCAAGAATTATGTTTATTAGAGTTCTAATATATTTTGCTTTGTTACTAATTTCTGACACCAAGTTCCCATGTGGTTTTACTATTCTGCTCTTTCTTTTTGCCTCTATCCTTGCTCTATAAAATAGTTTGTGATGTTATAAAAGTTAACACAAGGTGCCATATGTGACGATATAAGAGTAAGCACAGAGAACAATATGTGAGAATGTTATAAAATTTGACCCAAAGTATAATATGGGATGGTGTAGAATTTGACACAAAGTGCAATATGTGACGATATAAGAGTTGACACAAAGCACAATATATGTGATGGCATTATTCGAGTTAACACAAACTTCACTATTTGCTGATAAAGGATTTGCCACATAACTGATCTGTGTGTAAACCCCCGGGGCGGTGCTACCGACGGAAGTGTTTTTAGGCCTTTCCCAAAGCCATGTTCTTATGCACAGTAGAATTGCTATTGTAAATGGGCTGATTCATCAATGTCATGCTCATAACTGTACCTAAACTGCAACAGGGAACTACTGCTTTTTCTCTCTTAATCCTTACTATAATAATTTTGCCTCTACTGCTTTTGTATGTTTGTCACACTCTTGTGACCCCCTATTTCCGGGGTACCTTGATAGTCGAAGCAGACTTTGTGCTGTTGAAGCTAGAGAGGTGAGCTGAGTAAACCTGATTCCCTGTAAGGACTTCTCTGTTGACATCCACCCCTTGGCGCTCATATGACCTTATGCAGTTGTGAGCGCCGTAAAACCTCTACTAAACAAAACATGATCTATGTGTTTGTTGTGCTGTGGTCAGGTCACCAGAACTGGGTGCTCTGCCTAGCCTGGTCTCCAGATGGACGGAAGCTGGCCTCTGGATGCAAGGGTGGGAAGGTGAGTCCTTCTTTTTGATTATGTTTTTCTTTTTCATCTTTATTTTCTTGTTCTTGTTCTTCTTCCTCTTTCTCTTCCTCCTCCTCCTCCTCCTCCTCCTCCTACTTCTTCTTCTTGTTCTTGCTCTTGTTCTTGTTTGATGTTCTTTTTCTTTTTCTTCTCATTTCTTTTTCTTCTCATTCTTCTTCTACTTCTTCTCCTTCTCCTCCTCCTCCTCCTCCTCCTCCTCCTCCTCCTCCTCATCCTCCTCCCTTCCCCCCCCCATCTTCAGAGTTCTGAGCATGAGTGATGTAGGTAGATATAAATATAATATGTGGTTAGTAGGCTTTTACTTTGTCCCTGCTTGTTAGAGTGTGAAAAAATGAATGATTATATTATATCAAAATACTGAAATGTTTTCTAGAAGTAAAACTGTAGAAGTACCATGAATTCTTGACAGGAATCCTTAAGCTGTCTCTATTCTTGTCACTTTCCTCTTTTCTTCTCTCCTTCCCCAGGTGTGTTTGTGGAACCCAAAGACCGGTAAAGAGATCTCCCGACCTTTGACCGGACACACAGACTATGTGTCCTCCGTGGCTTGGAAACCTCTACACTTGTGAGTCGTTACACTGACATTAAAAAAAAAAAGTGAGGCGTTGTCCTGAAATCAGGCGCTCGTCAAATTGATGAAATCGAAGATGCAGGCATTTTCAGAACGGTTTGGCAATTTTTATTAAATTTTTGGATTTAGTTCAGTCTTACTTTTTTCCTTGTATTAAATGACTAATCTTGTGGGTATGCTTCAGTTTACTCAAACAAACAAATGTGCTTGTTTTCTATTTCAATTCATTTATGTGGAAGATAAAATGAGGATTGAAGTAACCCTCCCCCCACATAAAAAGAGCTCTTTACTACTCTACGAATGTTAAGTGTAGTGTGAACCACTTGCAGATCTTTCTGTTATAATTATATCGTTTTCCATTTGTTGTTTCTTTCCCTGACCCAGATTTTGTGGGTGTTTAGAGGGCGCCTCTGTTATGTTCCACATGTATTTTTTTGTCGAGGTGTTTCAGTTTGTCTTTATTAAACTGTAATCTAATGCTGGGATGTTTCATCGTTGAATTGTCGTCAGCTCCTCATACAATGGTGTATATAGAAATGTTTTATTCTTTGTCACACAGAGATCCAGAATGCAGATATCTGGCAAGCTCTTCCAAAGTAAGTTATCTTCTTCCTGAAATGGTTTATTGAACAGGATATTTTTAAACTGAGTGAAATTCAGCCAGTGAATACTCTCTTCCAATTATTTTTGTATTCCATGTCACGGCTATTCCCAAGCGGAGCACTTAGTTACCCGAGGAACTGACCCGGTCAACCATGCCTCGCCCGGGTGGTCATGGAGGTCACTTTGACTTTTGCTCCACAAATGAACTGTTGTGACTTAACAATCTTTATACAGTTTAATTGCTTCATTGTGGCTTTTCCCATGAATAAATCAACGTGAAATTATTATCAACAGATAAAGGCATTCTTGGACTGTACAGCAAATAACTTTTTATTGATATTCTTAACAGGGCACCCTTTAAAACATGGGCGCAACTGTGGGCATCTATGGGGAAAATGTTTACGTGGGTCTACTTTTTAAAGTTATGATATTTTAAAATTTGTACACCAGATCTCTAAAATAATCAGTGGTATACAACAGTGACATGATGAGCTTTCAGAAACACTTACATTTTATTTGATTCTTTCAGAAATGGGGAACTTGTAGAAGATTTACTACTGTCCAATTAATAAAGCGAAAGATTTTTCGTTGTCTCCTCACAGTTTTCTCAAATAGGGAACATGTAGAATGTTCACTGCTATCCGATTCCATGACGCAAGAGTTTCTTCGCTGTCTCCTCACAGCTGGAGCTGCTTTCACATTCACAAACACATAACATATGAATTCCCACTGTCCTGTTCTCCAGTTTTGTGATGCTGGAGTGCTCAAGTTTGCCACTCTGCTCGCCCATTAAATCCAAACCAAATCCATAACTTTAAATAAAACGCTGACAGTGGTGCTCTAATATGTGTTGCTTGGTGTGTGACTGAGTTTGAAAATAGTCGTTTGTACAGCCTCTTTTACTTTATTTTACTTTTCTGATCCAGCAGCCATTTGGGTTCTAGCCCTTCGGTCTGATTGTACAGCTACAAATATGCAGAAATTGCTGGTCCTATAATATCAAACTCAGTTTCTTGTATTTTATGTGTGTAAGAGATGAGGTAGTGTACTTTAGCACAGCTGTTGTTTAATAAAATCAGATTTCTGTCTGATTGTGTGGGCTGCATCTATGATGTTTTGGTTAGATGTAAAAGCCGCAGTGTGTTTACAAATATGTTTTGTGATGCTTGTGTACTGTGGGTGCCTCAAGTATTGGTGACAATGGTTTCCTATCAGAGATCGACTATAGTAAGGTGTCCAGGTGTGTAAACTTTCTTCACTACTTTTTTGTACAGCAGATAGGGTTCCTTCTTGAACTTGTTTCTTTAAGCAGAAGGCTATATGCGCTGCACACATTTATTGCACATTTCACAGGGATGTGTGTCTTCATTGTCCGTGTCCACGATAGAACACGAGTAAGCCATTTTTAAAACTTATACAAAAATATCTGCTCTGGTTTGCCTTTTTAACCTTTTTACTTCTGGCCCTGCATGTTCTACACAGTTTTTTGGAACACGCAAGGTGTAGTTCCCTCGTGTGTTTCATTTTCCCTCTTGTAGTAGACTCTCCTGACACTTGTCCATAAAGAATCCGGGAAAGTGAAAGCGGGACCTTGGGTGAATACCGCATGGGCAGCGCGGCGGTTGGGAAAATTTTACAGGGTGAAGTTACAAAACTCGCCGTCTTGTTAAAGTTTTCCATTGAAACTAACCAATTTTTTCACAAAAACCTCCTTACTGACTCTTGGTACGGCAAATAAAAAAATGATAACAATCTTTGTTTCATGAATGGAAAAAAGTCCCGATCTTTGTAGCAATCCGAGAAATATGTGCACCACAACGTAGGGTTAAGTACAGAGGTAGTGTGTGTACACGCTCAGAACTAGAAATGAACTAAAGGATGCAAGTTATTGAGGAGAGCTTGGGCTTTCATTTGATAGCCCACACACCCATAGTGATAGATAAGAGAGGACATTTACAGGGGTTTAAATCCAGTGAAAATTACAGACTTCTGCCCGAAATCGGCTAACAGCGCTATCGCCCAGGAAGCGATGTGTAGCCTGACTGTCAGGTAGGATTTATGACCCCCGGAGGTCAGCGGGGAGGTTAAACTAAGTAATCTGCAAGAATATTACAACTGAACAGCCGTGATGTTGCAGGCTTTTTGTGTTTTCAAAATGACGTTTTAATGTGTTTCCCAATTTTGTGTGTGTGTGTTTGTGTGTTGGAGGGAGGATTTTACTACACCCAATTTTTGCTGGCCAGATCAGAGTGGATTCAGTCACTTTGTGATCCTTTTCAAGATTAAAAGGTTTATGCGATTCATACACTAACGCTAACTTTTGCTTTTGCAGACTTAGAACTTTCATCAGTTATCTGATAGAATTCTGTTCAAAGGTATTGTAGTACAAAATCCGGTATGGTCCATTACTTGTGGTCCACATGATTGCCAAAATATTGGCTGATTTTTAGAACATGCATTGTATGAGAGGACGGTATCTTGGCTCAAGATTTTGAATGTATAGTGTACAGGAGCTCTCACAAAGGGGTTAAAAAAGACTTTGTTAGACTTCTCCCAATAGGTTTATTGTTTTTGTGGTGTTCGAAATAAGTAATCAATAGAGGTATTCAATATCTTGATCATCCCAAACATTCACTCCCTTAAAAAAAACAATGTGCAAGACTTCTCCTATTCAACCCACCGAAAATGGGCTGGACACACTGTTTCTCCCAATTTAATTTCCTCAGTAATTAACTTGGCTATAGTGAAAATAGATCAGTAGCACCTTTAATCTTTAGAACTTTTATGACCTTATTACGTTGCAAGTGACGTAGAAACTTAAACTAAAAAAAACTTAAGCTTTGTTGTTATTTTTAGAGGGAAAAGTGTCGGAGCCCGTGTTAGTGTTCAGAATTTGTGCCACGACGTGGTGGAATCAGGCACTCGTCAATTTTTGGGCATGTGGAGTTATTGGTGTCATCTGAAAGCTTATTTATTTGCTTTTGCTTTCTATAAAAAATACACCCATCTATCTTGAATAAAAGTCGAAATATTCACGATTGACGGAGGTGGGGATAGCATGGTTCCAGAGGTAAATAAATCGAGAAAATGGACGCCAAAGTTTTGTAACTTCTGTAGCTTGAGAGTCCTTGAAAACTGAAAATCTACATATTTTTTGTGACATTAATCGTTTAAAAAAAATAAAATCCACATGAAAATGTGTTTTTATATGGACATAAGAGGTGTTGAGCTAAGACTAATTTGATTAAAATTGCCAAACTGGAGGAAAAATGCCTGTTTCTTCGCTTTCATTACTTTGACGAGCGTCTGATTTCACCACGATGCCTCACATTTACTTTTACAACCATTATTTTCTTCAACTCAGCTCAAAAGAATGAGCACACCAGGAGGTTGCTAAGGGCACAGGAACATGGAAGTTGAACAAATAGGCCGCTGTTGTTGGCCAGGGATGGGAACAGGAAAGGGTTAAAATGACTTCAAATGTTAACACCTGTAGTCTCAAGGACAAGTGATCAGCCTAGATATTTACCCTCTGAACGAAAGTTTCATGTGTCCTCAGGATCGCACAGTGAGGATATGGGACGTGGTCACCTTCCGCTCTCACATGGTCATCTCAGGGCACACAGCTCACATCAGTATGGTCAAGTGGGGTGGTTCAGACCTCATCTTCACAGCATCGCACGACCGCAGCATCAAAGTGTGGAGGGCCAGTGATGTAAGTTTGTTGTGGGTCCTTTTTAGGTGTGCGTGTGTGTGTGTGTGGCAGTGTGTGTGTGTGTGTGTGTGTGTGTGTGTGTGTGTGTTAGTGTATCTGTGTGTGTGTGTGTGTGTACGCATGTGTATGTGTGTTTCTCTAATATGGGTAGTAGTGCTCAAAAGATGGCTTCTTTTTGTAGTCACTTTTAGTTAAAATTTAGTTTTAAAAAATATGTATAGTATATTTTCTTTAGTTACTCCTTGTCATCAGTGTGCTTTAGGCATTTCTAAAACGTGTTTTTTGTGTGTGTGTGTGTGTCCGCGCGCGCGCGCGCCCGTGTGTGTGTTTGAACTTCCTAAGAATTTTGGCTTTCCCTGCCACATAGAATGTCATTATGCCAGCAACAGCACTTGGACCAGCTTACAGCCAATTTACAGATTTGATACCGGCTGGAGATGTATTAAACCTTTATATCCGAAAGG